TATAATTAACAGCCTTGACACTGTTTATTCTTTCAATTAAGTAATTAATAATGTAATTTCCTAATTCAATATGGCATTCCCAACTCAGTAAATCCAGTATGGTTCATCATTGGGAATGGGAACATTTCCAACCGGTTTAGTTTAGCTTTGACATGGACAGTGTCAGCATAAACCTGATCTGCTGAATGCCACAAACTGAGAAGAGAACACGTAAATCCTTCCAGGTTGTCAAAACCAAGTTTCCCTTTACTTTGAGATAATTTGTTCATGAAAAGAGAACACGTGCCTACTTAGTGCCTCCATCTATAACTGCATTTTAGTTGGTTTTGGTGGTATAATGCACCACTGTGTGTGGTGCCCTCAGAGTTTATTTCTATCAAAGGGGTAAAAGGATATTTGTTGACATAAGTGGGGGGAGGTAGGAAATAATGTGGGAGATATAAATAAGAACTAGATGCTCTAGTATAATTGAGGCAGAGGGAGTGGCTACCTTCTAAAATTCGGTAGCGTCTAGAACAGGGATGCCCATGGAGGAGATCTCCTGACAATTCATCCCGTATCACCCTCTTCCCAGAGGGGAAGCTGGAACATACAGAATCACACATTTTTCTCTGAGTTTAAGGCTTCTGTGTCATCAGAAAAGGCTGTGTATAGAGGTTTTCAGACCAGTTTCCCTGGCTTTTACAAAGCAATCCTAGCTGGAGAACAGTATTAAAACCAAAGCTCTTATTTATAGGCTAGTTTTCTCCCTTACCTAGCTTACATTGTGGTTATAGTGTTTGCAGTAGTAAAATTCTTTAATCCTTTTAAAGACTCCATTATTTGGCTTGAACTCAGGGCCTGGGCTCTGTCCCTGAGCCTCTCTGTACTCAAGGCTAGTGCTCTGCCAGCTAGGCCCAGCACGACTTCTGGCATTTTCTGTGTATGTGGTACTGAGGAATGGAACCCAGGGCTTCATGCATGCTAGGCAAGCATTCTACCACTAAGACAGCTTTTCTTATCCTTTCAACAATTACCTTGAAATTTCTGAAATCTCAGAAATCTGCATGTCAGACAGGAAAAGGGGATCTTCCAGTCACAAAATCCCAAATGCCTTATTAAACCTAAGGAGAGGGTTGCCCTCCTGCCTTTTAACTAAAGGCATAATGTGGAATACTGAGTTCCCAGACTTAAGTATATAGGATATTTGAGCAGGCAAGGAGAAATTTAGTCAAGAAAATTCTTTTCTCCTCCCTGTTTTTCACATCAGTCCTCCTATCAACAAAGTGGTATTCCTACTAAGCTACAATCCTAGCCTAGTATAGGTGTCATAGAGACTATTACCAAATTTTTTATGATGAGAAAACAAGCTTATGCCAATTAATACTTTTTTTTTTTGGTCTGGTCGTGGGGCCTGAACTCTGGGCCTGGGTGCTGTCCCTCAGCTCTTCAGCTCAAGGCTAGCGCTCTACCACTTGAGCCACTTCTGGCTTTTTTTTTCTTTTTGCTTATGTGGTGCTGAGGAATCGAACCCAGGGCCTCAGGCATGCAAGGCAAGCACCCTACCACTGAGCTACCTTCCCAGCCCGCCTATTAATATTCTGACTAGCAGTGTTTGAGAGACCCCCCATTTGGGAAAATGTTGAGTAATTCACAGTTATCAGGATTATTTCATATCCAGAAAGTATTCTGCTAACAAAAAAAAATAAAGATGGATTGCACAGTTCCCTCAGCCTGGAATAGTTTATATTTTCCACAGATACTTTTTCATCCATTGTTCAAAGACAATGTTATACTTCAAGTAGTTAATTATAAGGCTAGTTACTACTTTTTTTTTTTTTGCTGGTCGTTGGACCTGAACTCTGGGCCTGGGCGCTGTCCCTCAGCTCTTCAGCTCAAGGCTAGTACTCTACCACTTGAGCCACAGTGCTACTTCTGGCTTTTTTTTTCTTTTTGCTTATGTGGTACTGAGGAATTGAACCCAGGGCCTTATACATGCAAGGCAAGCACTCTACCACTGAGCCACCTTCCCAGCCCCCCCGCTTTTTTTTTTTTTGAGGAGGGGTGGTCCTGGGCCTTGAACTCAGGGCTTGAGTGTTGCCCCTAAGCATTTGTGTTGGAGGCTAGCACTGTACCACTTTGAGCCACAGCTCCAATTCTGATTTTCTGATGGTTAATTGGAAATAAGACTCTCGTAGACTTTCCTTCTCAGTCTGGCTTTGCACTGTGATCCTCAAATCTCAGACTCCTGAGTAACTAGATTACAAGTGTGAGCCACTAGCGCTCAGCTTGTAACCACTTTTGAGTACTTTATTCATTGTACTGGATATCACCAGTTTGTGGTGGTCTTAAAGTCTATTGTTAAAATCAGCTCACTTCTTTCACTATTTTTGTAATTGTCTAAGCAGTTGTACTTTCCATCTGTTACTTAAAGGGTTGAAGAAATAATCTGTTGCCCAGTGAGGGTATGAGGGTATGTGTGTGTATGAGGGTGTGTGTGTATGTGTGTGTGTGTGAAGAAATAATCTGTTGTCTAGTGAGGGTATGAGGGGGTGTGTGTGTGTGTCTGTGTGTCTGTGTGCCAGTCCTAGGGCTTGAACTCAGGACCAGGCACCTGTCCCTGAGTGTTTTCTCAAGACAAGCACTCTACCACAGCTCCATTTGTGGGTTTTTGGTGGTTAATTGGAGATAAAAAATCTCATGGACTTTATTGGTGGGCTCGCTTTGAACTGTGATCCTCAGATCTCAGCTTCATGAGGAACTAGGATTACAGATGTGAGCTAACAACACCTGGCTCTTGCCCAGTTTTGTTATGTTTTGTCTATAAGATTATGGGAGTATTATAATTTTATTTATTTGAATAGTTGCAGATTTACCCAAAGTTATAAAAATAATAAAAAGGATTCTCATATAATATTTACTTAGATTCTCTAAATGTTAATAAGAAGTGACCATTTTTTTAGATACTGATTACTATTTTTTTGGGGGGGGTCCGATCGTGAGGCCTGAACTCTGGGCCTGGGTGCTGTCCCTCAGCTCTTCAGCCCAAGGTTAGCGCTCTACCACTTAGCCACAGCGCCACTTCTGGCTTTTTTTTTTTTTTTTGTCAGTCGTGGGGTTGAACTCTGGGCCTGGGTGCTATCCCTGAACTCTTCAGCTCAAGGCTAGCGCTCTACCGCTTGAGCCACAGCCCCACTTCCGGCTTTTTTCTTTTTTCTTATGTGGTGCTGAGGAATCAAACCCAGGGCCTCAGGCTTGCAAGGTAAGCGCTCTACCACTGAGCCACCTTCCCAGCACCCCTGATTACTTAAGCCTTGAATTTATATCCCAGCTTCCTCCTCTTCTACCTTTCCTCTCCTTTAGCTAATAGGTAGGAGAAAACAATTCCCAATCAAGGTTCAAGGACTAATTGTGTTGTATTCTAAATGGTTCTATTTGGGTATTCACCCATTATTATTTTTGTGATTCAAGGTTTTCACTTACACAGTGGTCTTTTTTTTCTTGTTTTTTTTTTTGGTCAGTCATGGGGCTTGAACTCTGGGCTTGGACGCTATTCCTCAGCTCTTCAGCTCAAAGAGAGCGCTCTACCTCTTGAGCCACAGTGCCACTTCTGGTTTTCTGGTGGCTTATTGGAGATAAGAGTCTCACGGAGCAACAATGAGAAGTACAAGTTGTCATGTCGAAAACGAACTTTACGGAGCCGGGTGCTGGTGGCTCACGCCTGTAATCCTAGCTACTCAGGAGGCTGAGATCTGAGGATCGCGGTTCAAAGCCAGCCCGGGCAGGAGAGACCGTGAGACTCCTATCTCCAATAAACCACCAGAAAACCGGAAGTGGCGCTGTAGCTCAAGTGGTAGAGCACTCGCCTTGAGCTGAAGAGCTGAGGGACAGCGCCCAGGCCCAGAGTTCAGGCCCCACGACCGACAAAAAAAAAAAAGAAAACGAACTTTACAACTTTGGTGGGGGGGGGGGGGGTGGGAGGAGGATTGGATGGAGGGGGAGGCTTGGAAGGGATGGGAAGGGAAAACAAAGGAGGAGGCTACAATGCTTGATAAGAAATATACTCATTATCTTGCCCATGTAATTGTAACCCCTCTGTACAGTTTTTTCACAATTAAAAAAAAAAAAAGAGTCTCTCGGAGTTCCTGCCCGAACTGGCTTTGAACCGTGATCCTCAGATCTCAGCCTCCTGAGTAGCTAGAATTATAGGAGTGAGCCATCAGCACCTGGCTCCTTTTTTTGCTTTAGTCACTTTTCAGATAGGATCTGATAGTTTTGCCCAGGTCTACCCAGAACCACAGTTCTCACCTGTGACTATTCATGTACCTGGGACTACAGATGCTTACCATCACATATGGCTTATTGATTGAAAAAATAATTTTTTGTGTGCCAGTCCTGGCACTAGAACTCAAGGACGGGTATGGTCTTGCACTTTTGTTCTCAAGGCTAGTGCTAGAAACCACAATGTACATTCATAGTAACCAGTATGTCCTCTATGGTATTTAAAAGATCATGTGGAAATGTTTATTTTAGTGGTTCTTTTCTCTCTCTCTCTCTCTCTCTCTCTCTCTCTCTCTCTCTCTCTCTCTCTCTTTCCTCCCTCCCTCCCTCCCTCCCTCCTTCCTCCCTCTCTCTTTCTCTCTCTCTTTCTCTTTCTTTCTTCTTCTTTTTTTTTTTTTTTTTTGCCAGTCTTGGGGCTTAAACTCAGGGCCTGGGCACTGTCCCTGAGCTGCTCAAGGCTAGTACTCTACCACTTGATTTACAGCACTACATCTGGCTTTTTCTGTTTATATGGTATTGAGGAATCAAGCCCACTGCTTCATGCATGCTAGGCAGGCACTCTACCACTAAGAACATTCCCAGGCCATGTGGTTCTTTTCTTCTTAGAAAATGGGTCACACATGTCTACTGTATATACACTCAGTAAATATTTATTGAATGAGTAATGCTTTTCTGTCTACTTTTCTGGAAATTAATATGTTCATTTTTGTTTCCCTTTATGTTTCTTTCTGGACTCCAAGGAGGAGGCATCTCCTTATTCCTTACTTGATATCTGCTTGAGTTTCCTGACCACTCACCTGGAAAAGTTCTGTTCAGCAAGACAAGATGGAACATTGTGTTTGCAGGAACCTGGAGTATTTCCACAGGAGGTGGCAGATCGCCTGCTTCAGACCATGGCATTTCATGGTAAAACAAAACTATGTGTACCTAATTGGCATTAGATTTTTAAGTACAACAGTGCTTTAATATTATCTTAGAAATAACTGAAAAATGGTAGAGCATCAGCTATGAGTGATAAAGCTGATGTAGAGTGAAGGCCATGAATTAAAAGCACTAGCTTAAAAACAAAAACAAAAAACTAGAGAAAAAGCTGGGCGCTTGTGGCCTATGACTGTAATGGTAGCTACTCATAAGGCTAAGAACTGAGGGAGGATCGCAGTTCACAAGGCTCTTACTTCTAGTAAACTACTCAGAAAAAGCTGGAAGTGGCCTGTGGTTCAAGTAGTAGAGCTCTCGCCTTAAGCACAAAGAGGCTCAATGACAGAGCCCACATCCTGATTTCAAGCTTTAGGACCACAAACAAACAAAAAAATGAAAAACCCACTGCAGAGTAAGAGAAAAGGATAACACAAAAAGCCAAATGAACCTGATTCTGGGAAAAGGAACACTCTCCTCTTTCCCAGCACTTAAATTTGATACCTGATGCTTTTGCTCATTGGCTAATACTCTACCATCTGAGCCACATCTCCAAGTAATTTATTTTTATACATCCTGGCTCTTACTATATAGTTTAAGAATTTTTATTTCTCTTTTCTAATACAGGCAAATGCTTCCTTCCTCCTTCCCTCCCTCATTCCTTCCTTTTCTCTATTCATTTAAATACTCTATGTAAGATTTGCAATTGTGGGCTGGTGCCTGTGGCTTATGCCTTTAATCCTAGCTACTCAGGAGGCTGAGATCTGAGGGTTGAAGTTCGAAGCCAGCTTGGGCAGAAAAGTCTGTGGGCAGAAAAGTCCGTGATACTCTTTATCTCCAATAAACCACTCAGGAAACCGGAAGTGGCACTGTGGCTCAAGTGGTAGAGGGCTAGCCTTGAGCTGAAGAGCTGAGGGACAGCACCCAGGCCCAGAGTTCAAGCCTCAGACTGACCCCCCCCCCAAAAAAAAAGATTTGTAATTGTTTTTGTCTGTGCTCCCAGTGAATCCAGTCCTTTGAGATGAGGGAGGGTAGATGTGGGGATATGGCTTTACTTTTTTTTTTTTTTTGTATGTCTTAGGGCTTGAACTCTGGGCCTGGGCACTGTCCCTCAGCTCTTAAGCTCAAGGCTAGTGCTCTACCACTTGAGCCACAGGACCACTTCTAGTTTTTGGTGGTTATTTGGATATAAGCGTCTCATGTACTTTCCTGCTGGGGCTGGCTTTGATTATAGGTGTGAGCAACTGGCGCCCAGTTTGGCTTTACATTATTTCTTCACTGAAATTTCTTCACTTTTATTTTTATTTTTTTATTTTTTTGGGTCCAGTCATGGGGCCTGAACTCTGTGGGGCCTGGGCGCTGTCCCTCAGCTTTTCAGCTCAAGGCTAGCACTCTACCACTTGAGCCACAGCGCCACTTCCGGCTTTTTTCTTTTTGCTTATATGGTGCTGAGGAATCGAACCCAGGGCCTCATGCATGCAAGGCAAGCGCTCTACCACTGAGCCACCTTCCCAGCCCTTCTTCAACTTTTAAAATGATGATCTAGATGATTACTTTTTTTTTTTTTTTTTTGATCTGGTCATGGAGCCTGAACTCGGCCTGGGTGCTGTCCCTCAGCTCTTCAGCTCAAGGCTAGCGCTCTACCTCTTGAGCCACAGTGCCACTTCCAGCTTTTTTCTTTTTGCTTATGTGGTGCTGAGGAATCGAACCCAGGGCCTCAGGCATGCAAGGCAAGTGCTCTACCACTGAGCTACCTTCCCAGCCCAGCAAATTTTACCCTTCTTTCATTCCTTCCTTCCTTCCTTCCTTCTTTCCTTCCTTCCTTCCTTCCTTCCTTCCTTCCTTCCTTCCTTCCTTCCTTCCTTCCTTCCTTCCTTCCTTCCTTCCTTCCTTCCTTCCTTCCTTCCTTCCTTCCTTCCTTCCTTCCTTCCTTCCTTCCTTCCTTCCTTCCTTCCTTCCTTCCTTCCTTCCTTTCTTATCCTAGGGTTTGAACTCAGGGTCTGGGCACTGTCCCTGAGCTTTTGCTCAAGGTCAGTACTCTACCACTGGAGCCACAGCGCTACTTCTGGCTTTATATGTTTATGTGGTACTGAGGAATTGAACCCAGAGCTTCATGCATGCTAGGCAAGCACTCTACCACTGACCCACATTCCCAGCCCTAGCTGTAGTTTTTAAGCTGTTGTAGTTTTTAAATTGTTTTCTTGATGCTGGTACTTTGTTAGAGATGTGGTTTGCAAATAGTTTCACTCTAGCTTATCTTTTTATCTTTCCTAAAAGATTTTTTTTTAAGTGAAAGTGAGTTTATTGATTATGCTTTTGGTATCAAATGTAGACCCTTTGTCTAACATTATATTACAACAGACTTAGTTCTATTTTTCTAAAAATTTTGCAGTTTTATGTTTATGTATAAGTTCATGGATCTATATTGTTAGAGTTTTGTTGTTGTTATTGTTTTGTTTTTGGTGCTGTACTGGTCTTGAATTCAGAGGTTGGGTGCTGTCCTGTAGCTTTTTCTTCTCAAGTCTAATGTTCTATCACTTGTTTTTACAGCTTTTTGTTTTTTTTTTCCTTCCTTATGTTTCTTCCCTTAAAGAGAACTAGTGACCTCAGTCATAATTGTATTTTTTCAGTTCCTTATGTTTGAAAAAGCTTTTTTTTCAAGGATGCTTGTAATTGTTCACTTTTGAAAATGTAATTGCATTTTTATGATTCCCTCTTTATAATTGTCAAATAATCTTAATGTTCTGTTACCTCAGTTTTGATATTTATTACCTTGCTTTCAGTTTCTTTGTACCATGATGATTTTTGGCTGAAATGTGGACATCTGGGATATTATGTCTTTTTATTTTTTTAGTTTATGTCTCTGAATATGGAAAGTAGGAGCACTGCCTCATTATTGGCAGCAGACATTTAGCTTCCACTTGACTTTTACTGACAACCTGTGTGGAGCTACTTGTTACTACTGTGTAGGAATTGGAATTCTGGCTCTCCTTTAGAACCCTACCAATACCTCTCTAGCTGAAAGGGATATGAATGTGACACTTCGCTTCCCAGTTGGCCTCCACTGACACCATGTTGGTAGGAGATGGTTTTATTACTCTTGGTCAACTGTGAGAGTGTTCACTTTTCACTGAGCTTCTTCTTACACTGCCCCAGCAGGGAGCAGGGAGGATCTCTTTACCGCTGGGTAGGTTTCAAAGTCTTGGCACCCCAGACGGGTGAAGGTGGTTCTTACTACCTTCTGAGTACTAGGATTATAGGTACCACCTTATATAGAGTTATAAATTGAGTGTAGAGGTGTGTCTTGCCTTTCTTTGTATCTACAGCATTTAATAGTTCTTTTTCTTTTTTTTGGGGTCCGATCATGGGGCCTGAACTCTGGGCCTGGGCGCTGTCCCTCAGCTCTTCAGCTCAAGGTAGCACTCTACCACTTGAGCCACAGCGTAACTTCTGGCTTTTTTTTTCTTTTTGCTTATGTGGTGCTGAGGAATTGAACCCAGGGCCTCAGGCATGCAAGGCAAGCGCTCTACCACTGAGCCACCTTCCCAGCCCCACATTTAATAGTTCTTTACTTATAGTGTTTGCTTAGTGGCTATTCAATTGTCAGAACCATGAAACCCCTTTACCCCAGAAAAGAGCTTAGCCTGGAGCTGAAGAGCTGTGGGACAGCATCCAAAGCCCAGAGTTCAGACCCCATGACTGACCAAAAATTTAAAAAAAGGAATGTCTTTAGAGTATCACTGTCCACTCTGATCATATAAAATAATATTTACTGAAATGAACTCTAGGAAATGGGAAACAAGAAGCGTTTTCTTTTTTTTTTTTTTTGGTCGGTCATGGGGCTTGAACTCTGGGTTTGAGTGCTATCCCTCAGCTCTTCAACTCAAGGCTAGCACTCTACCACTTAAGCTTCAGTGGTAGAGTGCTTGCCTTGCATGCCTGGATTAGATTCCTCAGTACAACATAGGCAGAAAAAGCTGGAAGTGGGGTTGTGGCTCAACTGGTAGAGTGCTGGCCGTGAGCTTAAGAGTTCAGGGACAATGCCCAGGCCCAGAGTTCAGGCCCCAGGACTGACAAAAAAGAAGGAAAAGGAGAAGGAGAAGAAGGAGAAGAAAAAAGAAATAGGGGCTGGGAATGTGGCCTAGTGGTAGAGTGCTTGTCTAGCATGCATGAAGCCCTGGATTCAATTCCTCAGTACCACATAAACAGAAAAAGCTGGAAGTCATGCTCTGGTTCAAGTGGTAGAGTGCTAGCCTTGAGCAAATGAAGCTCAGGGACAGTGCCCAGGCCCTGAGTTTAAGCCCCAGGACTAGCAAAAAAAAAAAGACAAATAGATGAAACTAGTTTCAATTTTTATTTTATTTTATTTTTTGTCAGTTGTGGGCCTTGAACTCTGGGCTTGGGTGCTGTCCCTCAGCTTTTCAGCTCAAGGCTAGCGCTCTATCTCTTGAGCCACAGTGCCACTTCCGGTTTTCTGAATGGTTTATTGGAGATAAGAGTCTCATGGACTTTCTTGCCCAGGCTGGCTTTGAACTATGATCTCAGCCTCCTGAGTAACTTAGATTACAGGTGTGAGCAACCAGCCCCCGGCTTCAAAATTTTTTCTGTTATTATAATTTCAACATGTAGTTACTATAAAATATATTGATATTTTTATGTTTTATAAGTCTATGTCTTCAAAATCAGGTATATATTTTACTTCCTTTTTTCTTTTTTTTGTTGGTCATGCGGCTTGAACTCTGGTCCTGAGTGCTGTCCTGAGCTCTTCAGCTCAAGGCTAGTGCTCTACCACTTGAGCCACAGCACCACTAGCAGTACATTTATTTATTTATTTATTTATTTATTTATTTATTTATTTATTTATTTATTTATTTATTTATTGGGTCCGGTCGTGGGGCCTGAACTCTGGGCCTGAGCACTGTCCCTCATCTCTTCAGCTCAAGGCTAGCGCTCTACCACTTGAGCCACAGTGCCTCTTCCGGCTTTTTTCTTTTTGCTTATGTGGTGCTGAGGAATCGAACCTAGGGCTTCATGCGTGCAAGGCAAGCGCTCTACCACTGAGCCACCTGCCCAGCCCCTAGCTGTATATTTTATATTGAAAGCCTTCCTCAGAAGTTTACTATGTCTACTTTTACTCACGTTCGTCTAACAGAAAAGGTATAACTACTAAATCCTTTAAGTAAGTTTCAAATCAGGCTAGCAGTTTAATAAGTTATAGGCATTATATATTTGCTAGATATATATTTTATACATATTTGTGTATATAAAATACATTGTGAATTTAAATGATAGGCTAGAAGTGCAGTGATAAGAAATCAAGTACTTTCTCACACAGTTTAAACCTCACTGTGGTACATAAACTTGCAAATCCATTAAGGTTCTGATCCATAGCCACCTTAGTATTCAGATTAATAGAAGCTCAACCCTTCCAAACCTCTTTAGAACTTGAAGCTTTTTTCCTTTTTCTTTTTTTTTTGGTCCGGTCGTGGGGCCTGAACTCTGGGCCTGGGCGCTTCCCTCAGCTCTTCAGCTCAAGGCTAGCGCTCTACCACTTGAGCCACAGCGCCACTTCCGGCTTTTTTCTTATGTGGTGCTGAGGAATCGAATCCAGGGCCTCGAGCATGCAAGGCAAGTGCTCTACCACTGAGCCACCTTCCCAGCCCCCTTTTTCTTTTTTTTTTTTAATACATTTTTTTTATTGTGAAAATACCGTACAGAGAAGTGACAATTACATGGGCAAGATACTGAGTACATTTCTTATCAAGCATTGAAGGCTCTTTCTTTGTCATAGCAGGACAACATAGCATGGAAAATTATGCGTTGGCTCTCGGGCACTTCAACTTACAGCCCACTGCCAGAACTATCACATGGCTTCATGTAATACTAAGGAAGGGCTACAAAATATAGTTGCCAATGTCTGGTAAAGTGAGAACCCAGTGTTAGTGGATATCCTGTCTACCACAGTCCTACTTGAGCCACTTGTTAGTTCTATAATCTTGGAAAGCCACCTTTGTGGGGGGACAGTAGGTGGGTGGTGGTGGTGGTGGTGGTGGTGGTGGTGGTGGTGGTGGTGGTGGTGATTGAATCCCAGAGCCCTGAACATGCTAAAGCAAGTGCTATACTAATGAGTCTTATCCAAATCCCTCCAGCATTAGAATTTTTGTTGTTGTTGTTGTTGTTAGTACTGGAGTTCAAACTTGAGGTTTTGTGATTTGAAAAGCCCCTTTCCAAAAATGTTATAATCAGCTCACTGAATTGTGAGCATCAAATGAGTTAGCATTACATGGGAACATTTTGGAAATGAAAAGTAAGATAGAAATGTTATTGAACTTTCTTGAAGTTAAAGTGCTGCTTATTTTCCCCAGGTTTACTGAATGATGGTACTGTAGGTATTTTCAGGGGGAACCAGATGCGGTTAAAGAGAGCTTGCATTCGCAAAGCGAAGATATCTGCTGTTGCTTTCCGGAAAGCCTTCTGCCACCACAAGTTAGTAGAACTTGATGCCACAGGTGTGAATGCTGATATTACTATCACAGATATTATCAGTGGTCTTGGCAGTAATAAGTGGATCCAGCAAAATCTCCAGTGCTTAGTGCTGAACTCACTAACTCTCTCCTTGGAAGATCCTTATGAGCGGTGCTTCAGCCGACTTTCTGGTCTTCGAGCTCTAAGCATCACCAATGTTCTGTTTTACAATGAAGACCTGGCTGAAGTTGCCTCATTGCCAAGATTAGAGAGCCTGGATATTTCTAATACCTCCATCACAGACATCACTGCTCTGCTGGCCTGCAAAGACCGACTCAAGTCTCTAACCATGCATCACTTGAAATGTTTAAAAATGACAACTACCCAAATATTGGATGTTGTTCGAGAACTAAAACATCTGAATCATCTTGATATCTCCGATGATAAACAGTTTACATCTGACATAGCTCTTCGCTTACTAGAACAAAAGGATATCCTACCCAATCTTGTCTCTTTGGATGTTTCTGGGAGAAAGCATGTGACAGATAAAGCTGTTGAAGCCTTTATACAACAACGGCCCAGCATGCAGTTTGTAGGTTTGCTGGCTACTGATGCTGGTTACTCTGAATTCCTGACTGGTGCAGGACATTTGAAGGTCAGACATTTAAAACGTATTTTCTCCAACTGAACAATGTCTTAGTTACATAAGACTCTTATTAATAAAGATGAATGTCTAATATATGTAATATCTTTTTATTTTTATTTTTGTCGGTTGTGGGGCTTGAACTTAGGGCCTGGGAGCTCAGTCCCTCAGCTCTTCAGCTCAAAGTGAGCACTTTACCACTTGAGCTACAGTGCCACTTCTGGTTTTCTGGTGAATTATTGGAGACAAGCATCGCACAGATTTTCCTTCCTGGGCTGGCTTTGACCTACAATCCTTGGATCTCAGCTTGCTGAGTAGCTAAGATTACAGGCCTGAGCCATCTGCACCCAGCTTGTAATATGTTTTTGAAAACAGAGCTTTTTCTAGTGGAAAGGCTTGTATTAGGATCAGAATCCTAATTAAAACCTCAGTTTTGTTTGTGACCCAGAGCAAGATACAAGGTTACTTTTTTGTGTTTTCATATCTATATTTGTAATGTAGATATCATTGCATAATTCTCCTGAAGATTACTAACTGGAAATGTAAAGGGCAAGTCATATAGTTTATCCCAGATAAGCAGTGTGACTTGTTAGGGCAATATTTATATATTTTGAGCAATTTAAACAAAAATTTTCATGTAGAGATATTTCAGTAGGGATATTCATTGTTCAATTGAATACCTAATTTGAGATCAAGTTCTCTGAGTTCTCTCATGGTAAATTTTCTTTTCTTTCTTTCTTTTTTTTTTTTCGGTCATGGGGCTTGAACTCTGGGCTTGGGCGCTGTTCTTGTGCTCTTCAGCTCAAGGTGAGCGCTCTACCGCTTGAACCACAAAACCACTTCCGGTTTTCTAGTGGTTTCTTGAAGATAAGAGTCTCACAGGCTTTCCTGCCCAGGCTGGCTTTGAACGGCGATGCTCAGATCTCAGCCTCCTGAGTAGCTAGGATTACAGGTGTGAGCTACCGGCGCCGGGCTATGGTAAATTTTCTTTTCTTTTTTCTTTTTCTTTTTTTGGCCAGTCCTGGGGCTTGAACTCAGGGCCTGGGCACTGGCCCTGAGCTTCTTTTGCTCAAGGCTAGCGTTCTACTACTTGAACCATAATACCACTTCTAGCTTTTACTGTATATGTGGTTCTGAGGAATTGAATCCAGGGCTTCATGCATGCAAGGCAAGTACTCTACCACTAATCCACATTCCCAGCCCCCTTTTCTTTCTTTTTCCTTTTTTTTTTTTTGCCAGGCCATGGGGTCTGAACTCTTCAGCTCAAGACCAGTGCTCTACCACAGCACCACAGCCCCACTTCCAGCTTTTTCTGTTTATGTGGTGCTGAGGAATTGAGCCCAGGGCCTCATGCATGCAAGGCAAGCACTCTACCACTGAACTACCTTCCCAGCCCCTCTTTCTTTTTTTTTTTATTTTTTAAAAATTTTTATTGTTATTATAAAGGTGGTATACAAGGGTTATAATTATATGTCAGTAAAGAGTACCTTCCTTCCTTCCTTCCTTCCTTTCTTTCTTTCTTCCTTCCTTTCTTTCTTTCTTTCTTTTTTTTGGCACTGGTGCTGGGGTTTGAGTGCTATCCCTGAGCTCCTTTTGCTCCAGGCTAGTGTTCTGCCACTTGAGCTACTGGTGCTTGGCAAGAGTACATTTCTTTTTGGACAATGTCAAAATTTTTCTTAAAGATTAGCCAAGTTGGGTGCCAGTGGCTCATGACTAATCCTAGTTACCTTGGAGGCTGAGATCTGAGGATTGTGGTTCAAAGTCACACAGGAAAGTCTGTGAGAGTCTTATCTCCAATTAACCACCAGAAAATCAGAAGTGACACTGTGGCTGCCTGTAATCCTAGCTACTCAGGAGGCTGAGATCTGCAGATCATGGTTTGCAGCCATGCTCGGCAGAAAAGTACATGAGAGTCCTCTCAGTTAACCAGCAAAAACCCAAAGGTGTAGTTATGGCTTAAGTGGTGCATTGCCAGCCTTGTGCTAGAAATTTGAGAGAAAGCACCCAGACCCTAAGTTTCTATACTGGCACACACAAAAAAAGTATTTTGTAAAGAAATTTCCATTGTGTGCTTTTATGGCACATGATATATATCATTGCATATAATTGAGTTTATTTTAAGCCTTTGTAGCATCAATAACAATGTGAAACACTAACCATGGTACATCTATTCATTTCCTCAAGGCTACGTTTTCCAGTATGATTATTAAAAAATTTACTGAGTTTAAGCATTTGATTATTAAAAAAAATTTAAATTATCGTTAGTTGTATGAAAGGTTGCAATTCAACAAATCAGTTTATAAGTAGAGTGCGTATCAGTGTCACCCTGACCATCATTCTCCCCCATATTTCCCAACCCTACCCTGTTTATTTATTTATTTTTGGTTGGTCATGGGACCTGAACTCTGGGCCTAGGCATTGTCCCTCAGCTTTTCAGCTCAAGCTAGCACTCTACCACTTAAGCCACAGCGCCACTCCTGGCTTTTTCTATTTATGTGGTGCTGAGGAATAGAACCCAGGGTCTCATGCATGCTAGGCAAGCACTCTACCACTGAGCCACCTTCCCTGCCCCCCTGTTTATTTTTATGTTAATGAGGTTGCATCTTTCCTGTAATGAGATTATATCTCTTTGAATGACATTTTTGCATTTATTTTTATCTTTTTTTTTTTTTTTTTTGGTCGGTCGCCGGGCTTGAACTCTGGGCCTGGGTGCTGTCCCTCAGCTTTTCAGCTCAAGGCGAGCGCTCTACCACTTGAGCTACAGCGCCACTTCCAGTTTTCTGGTGGTTTATTGGAGATAGGAGTCTCATGGTCTCTCCTGCCCGGGCTGGCTTTGAACCGCGATCCTCAGATCTCAGCCTCCTGAGTAGCTAGGATTACAGGCGTGAGCCACCAGCGCCCGGCTTATTTTTATTTATCTTATTGCAAATAAACCTAGATTTAAAAGTATAAGTAGCAGTTGCATAGCTTATGAGTGAAAATAAGGTGACTGAGACCATCAGTCAGGGAATTTTGTCAGCTTTCTCAAAGGTCTTCTCTGAGCCCTCCTGTGAACACAACTCCCTTTTCCTTTTTTTTTTTTTTTGGTCAGTCATGGGGCCTGAACTCTGGGCCTGGACGCTGTCCCTCAGCTCTTCAGCTCAAGGCTACCCTACCATTCTACCACTTGAACCATGGTTTTTTTCTGCTTATGTGGTGCTGAGGAATCAAACCCAGGGCCTCATGCATGAAAGGCAAGCACTCTACCACTGAGCCACCTTCCCAGCCTACAACTCCCTTTTTCTTCGTCCTCACTTGGATAGTAACTATGTCCTTACATTTACAGTTTTATGACTCAGCTTTCTCATTTAAACACTTTGGGGTTTTTTTGTTTGTTTGTTTGTTTTGGCCAGGCCTGGGTCTTGAACTTGACCTGAGAGTTGTCCCCTGACCTTTGTTGCTCAAGGCTAGCGCTCTGCCACTTGAGCCACAGCTCCACTTACTGCTTTTTGGGTAGCTAATTGGAGATAAGAGTCTCACAGGCTTTTTTGCCTGGTTGACTTTGAATCTTGATCCTCAGTTCTCAGCCTTGTGAGTAGGTAGGATTGTAGACGTGAGCCACCCACATCTAACTTAATATGTCTTTTGAGTTCATAAGTTTCTCCCCCATCTCTTTCCTTCAAAACATGTCCTGCTTGTGGAGTTTTCCTCAATGTGGATCTTATTGATTATATGTGCTTAATGCTGCATATTTCTGTTGGTATGTTTCGCAAATTAATAGCTAGATTTTGGAGGTTTAATTCACTAATACTTGATATCTTTGGCAGGATACTATGTGTTACACTCTTTCATTATATACTGTCTAGTTGTTTCTAATGATGTGTAATGCCTATACCTATTATTTCATTGGTAACATTATGGTAATATTTTAGTCATTTCTTTTGCACTAGTTAATTTTATTTGTTACATTTATAAATAATCATTTACTTAATAGTGTTTGAATCATGTAATATAAGTGTATTATTAACTGGTGTAAATGAAAAATTCCTAGATTTAAGTTTGAGCAGAACTTCTTACAGAAGTTGATGAATCTGGGGAAATTATTTGGGAGTTTATTTGATGGACAGTTATTGTTCTGAGTAAGCATAATGCTAGCTGTTGAGGTGCAGTGGTGAATGGGTCAGTCTGGTGGGAGTAATATGGTAATAACTATGAAGTCCATGAAAAGTTTTGAAGGACCTGATTTATATTTGTGTGTTAAGGAAGACCTCTCAAAGATGTGTTTAACTTTAGTTAGGACTAGTAGAGGGGCTGGGAAGGTGGCTCAGTGGTAGAGCACTTGTCTTGCATGCATGAGGCCCTGGGTTTGATTCCTCAGCACCACATAAGCAGGAAAAAAAAAGCCGGAAGTGGCACTGTGGCTCAAGTGGTAGAGCACTAGCCTTGAGCTGAAAAGCTGAGGGACAGCGCCCAGGCCCAGAATTCAGGCCCATGACCGACACCCCCCCCCCCCCCCCCGAAAAAAAAGAAAGAAAGAAAGAAAGGACTAGTAGAAGTTAGTTAGGCAAAAAAAGACAGAGGTAGCTGGGTAGCTGGGTGCTGGTGGCTCACACCTGTAATCCTTAGGAGGCTGAGATCTGCAGATCACGGTTCAAAGCTAGCCTGGGCAGGAAAATTCAAGAGACTTTTATCTCCAATTAACCACCAGAAAACTGGAAGTGGTGCTGTGGCTCAAGTGGTAGAGTACTTGCCTTGAGCTGTAAGAGCTCAGGGACAGCGCTGAGGCCTAGAGTTCAAACCCCATGACAGACCAAAAAAAAATAAACTGAGGTTTCACTTAGACAATGTATGTAATGGCCTTTTTCTGAAGAAGAGCTTAGTTTATTGAAAGCTTAGAAGAAGAAAAAGGGCCATTGTAGCTATAATATTGGGAGCTAGGGTAGAGGTTTCTTTTTGTTTATCTCCTTCTTATGAGCCTAGTTATATAATAAGACCATGTAATCAGCGTTAAGTATCTTGAGATTTATTTTAGGTACAGAAAAGGTATTTGTGCTAGGTTCTGAGTCTAGCTAACAGACATCTCTGGATGAGCTGAAAAGTAATTTTTCCCACTTAATTAAAGCCTTACATAGCTATACTGGGTAGCATCTTTACAACTGATGTTTAGGTAAAGAAATTTAGAGAGTTGATAATAATTCTGGGCACTAATCTTTTGATTATTTTCAAAAGGTGTCTGGTGAAGCCAATGAAACTCAGATTGCAGAAGCATTAAAGCGGTACAGTGAACGGGCCTTTTTTGTCCGAGAAGCTCTATTTCATCTTTTTAGCCTGACACATGTCATGGAAAAAACAAAGCCAGAAATTTTGAAGGTAAGAAAAAAAAACTGGTTATGAAAATTTTGAAATGGTGTTCCTGGTCAGATGATGAAGGAAATTTTGTATTTTGTTTGTTTATTTATTTATCCTGCCTGTAGCTTGAACTCAGAGACTACTGTTCTCACTCAGCTTTTTTTTCTTATGGTTGATGCTTTGCCATTTGAGCCATGCCTCCCATCTAGCATTTTGCTGGTTAATTGGAGATGAAGTCTCTCAGACTTTTCTTTTTGGGATGGCTTTAAATAGAAAGCCTCTAGGCCTGCACCTCCTGCATAGCTAAGATTACAGATGTCAGCCGCAGGTACTTGGCTTGATTTTTAATGGGATTGATGGTCTGCTATTTCAATTATTAGCTATACATGGGGAAGATGATAGTTGCATAGTATTACTCAAGTTTTATAGTAGTCACAATAAGCAATATAAATGCTTTCTAGTGCATATATAACTACTAAACCATTAACCACATTTTATTTGTACATGTAGTTGAAAATAGAAATATATGACTGGAATCAGCTTACTGCATTGTATATTAACTTTATATTTCTTCCCACTTAAAGAGTTTTTATAGAGGGGTGGGGAAGGTAGCTCAGTGGTAGAATGCTTGCCTTGCAGGCATGAGACCCTGGGTTCAATTCCTCAGCACTACATAAACAGAAAAAGCAGGAAGTGGCACTGTGGCTCATGCTAGCTTTGAGCTGAAGAGCTGAGGGACAGCATTCAGCCCCAGAGCTCAGACCCCATGACCAAAAAAAAGGTCTTTTTAGAAATGCAATATTAAGAAGCCCAAAGACACTTTTCTACACCATTAATGATCCTCCTATGCCTCAGTATTTGATCCCCGTTATTTTCCAATTAAGATGCTTTAAACTAAAGAGCTTTTAACAAGAATAAAAAAGGAGATTCTTAACTTAGTTGCTTAGGGCAGTATTTGTTCTTTTGGTCACTAGAAATCTGAGATATGGCCTATTTTTCCTTCCTTCCCAGATATGGCCTTCCTTCCTTCCTTCTTTCCTTCTTTCCTTTCTTCCTTCCTCCCTTCCTTCCTTCCTTCCTCCCTCCCTTCCTTCCTTCCTTCCTTCCTTCCCTCCCTCCCTCCCTCCCTCCCTCCATCCTTCCCTTCCCTCCCTCCCTCCCTCCTTCCTTCCTTCCTTCCCTCCCTCCTTCCTTCCTTCCTTCCTTGTCCGGGGGTTGAACTTAGGGCCTGGGCACTTTTTCTGAGCTGCTTTTGTTACAGCCAGCACTCTACCACTTGAGGCACAGTACCACTTCCAGCTTTTTCTGCGTATGTGGTACTGAGGAATCGAACCCAGGGCTTCGTGAATGCTAGGCAAGCACTCTACCACTAGGTCACATTCCCATCCAATATCGCCTATTTTCAAAAGCATATTCAGGTCAAGTGTGGTGGCACATTTCTGTAATTTAACCCTCAGGATGCTAAAACATGAGTATTACCAGTTCCAGGCCAGTTTGCACTACTCAGGAGCCTGAGATCTGAGGATTGCTGTTCAAAGCCAGCCCGGGTAGGAAAGTCCGTGAGACTCTTATCTCCAATAAACCACTAGAAAGCCAGAAGTGGCGCTGTGGCTAGAGAGCTCGCCTTGAGCTGAAAAGCACAGGGATAGCACCCAAGCCCAGAGTTCAAGCCCTATGACCAACCAAAAAAAAAGGTATTTGTTTCTAGCTGAGATCTGAGGATTACAGTTCGAAGCTAGCCTGGGCAGGAAAGTCTGTTAGACTCTTACTCCAGTAAACTACTCAGAAAAAGCCGGAAGTGGCACTGTGGCTCAACTGGTAGAACACTAGTCTTTTTTTTTTTTTTCTCAGGTAAGGGGTAGGTTTATTCATCGTTCCAGCTGGCACCAGGCCATCTTGGTCCTCCACGTGGTGGGGAAAGGCCTGGGAAAGAGAGCTGGGAGAGCTGGGAAAGAGAGAGAGGAGCTAGAAAAGAAAAGAGAGAGAGCAGAGAGAGAGGAGAGAGCAGAGAGCAGAGAGAGCTAGAAAAGAGCAGAGAGAGCAGAGCGAGAGCTAGAAAAGAGGAGGGAGCTGGGAAAGAGAAGAGAAGGAAAGAGCTGAGAAAGAGCTAGAAAAGCAGAGAGAGCTAGAACACTAGTCTTAAGCACACAGGGGCTCAGGGACAGAGCTCAGGCCCAGAGTTCAAGCCCCAGGACTGCCAAAAAAAAAAAAAAAAAAAGGTATTTGAGTGGCTACAGGTACAACTAGCTCAGTGCTTTTCTAACATGTGAAAGGTTTGATCCCTGGCATCAAAATAAATGCCTCAAGAAATTTAAATTTGATATGGCTAGATGAGCCCCTGAGATCAATCTTAAGCATACAACTTTGAAAAACAGAGAGTATATTATATTTGGCATTAATATTTATTATTTATTTATTTCCTTATTTATTTATTTATTGTCAGTCCTGGGGCTTGAACTCTGGGCTTGGGCGCTGTCCCTGCGCTATTCAGCTCAAGGTAAGCACTCTGCAGCTTGAGTCACAGCGCCACTTCCGGTTTTCTAGTGGTTTCTTGGAGATAAGAGTCTCATGGTGGGGCTGGGAGGGTGGCTCAGTGGCAGAGCACTTGCCTTGCATGCATGAGGCCCTGGGTTTGATTCCTCAGCACCACATAAGGGAAAAGCCAGAAGTGGTGCTGTGGCTCAAGCGGTAGAGCGCTAGCCTTGAGCTAAAGAGCTGAGGGACAGCGCCCAGGCCAAGAATTCAGGTCCCATGACCGGACCCAAGAAAAAAAAAAAAAAAGAGTCTCACGGACTTCCCTGCTCGGGCTGGCTTTGAACCGCACTCCTCAGATCTCAGCCTTCTGAGTAGCTAGGATTACAGGCGTGAGCCACTGGCACCCAGCTGTTAATATTTATTGAACACAAGATTTTTTTTTTTTTTTTTTGCCTGACCTGGGGCTTGAACTCAGGGCCTGGTCTCTGTCCCTGAGCCTCTCTGTGCTCAAGGCTAGCACTCTACCCACTTGAGTCACAGCGCCAAACCAGCTTTTTTCTGTTTATGGTGCTAAGGAATTGAAGCCAGGGCTTCATGCAGGCTAGGCAAGCACTCTACTAAACCACATTCCCAGCCCTTTATCATCGGTTTTACAGATTGTGAAACTGAGGGTCTGTGAGAGTGCAAATTCAATAAGTTAGTGGAAAAACAAGAAATCACCCTTTAAGTACCTTAAATTTTGAGAATGGGCTGCTTGGATACGAACTACATTGCTTAGTATATCATCATCTACACCTGTCACTCTCTCCATGGGTACCAGAGGACATTGAAATTTACTATGTACTTGTCTTTTTTTTTTTTTTGCTTTTTGAACAAGAAATCTTGTTTCAAAGGTAAACAACAACCAAAAAGGTGGTAAATGAATAAAGAAGTAGTTTTTTTTCTTTTTTTCTTTCTTTTTTTTTTTTTGTGTTGTTTGGTAGCCCTGAAATACTACCTTGAGTTTGCTAGATAAATGCTCTCTACCAAGCCCTGCCTCTCTAGCTTTTTTTTAAATTTATTTTTCACATAGAGTCTCATGTTTCTTGTCTGATCTGGCTTCAGACTATGATATTCCTACCTCTACCAACCACATAACTGAGATTACAGACTTGAACTACCATGACTGGACATTTCACTACATTTTTTTCTTAGCCTGGCCTTGAACTGTATTCATGATCTCCACCTTTCAGTGCTTTGTTTTTTACAGATGGAGGAAATAAACCAGGTACAGCAATTCACACCTGTATTCCTAGCTACTAAGAAGGCTGAGAACTGAGGATCATAGTTCAAAGGCAGCTTGGGTACACACATCCAAGAAACTCTTAACTTTGTTTAATCAACAAAAAAACTGGAAGTTGGAGGGGTGGCTCAAATAGTAGAGTACCAGCCTTGGGTGAAAAAAACCTAAGAAAGAGTGCAAGTACAAGTCCCAATAACCCCGTCATAAAAAGATGGGGAAATAATAGTTTTTGTATGCTAATGATCCAGTGTCGAATAAAAAAAAAAATGATGTGGAGCCAGGCACCCTTGGCTCATGCCTATAATCCTAGCTACTCAAGAGGCTGAGATCTGAAGATTGTGGTTTGAAGCCAGTCTGGGCAGAAAAGTCTGACCACATATCCCCTTACCAACATACAGATTTTCATGTTATCACAATCATCTTACTGGATTTTTGTTGTTGATTGGTTGTGGGGCCTGGACACTGTCCCCTGTCCCTTAGCTCTTCAGCTCAAGGCTAGCACTCTACCACTGGAGCCACAGCACTACTTTCAGTTTTCTGAGTGGTTTATTGGAGATAAAAGTTTCACACAGCCTCTCCTGCCTGGTCTGGCTTTAAACTGTGATCCTCAGATCTCAGCTTCCTGAATAGCTAGGATTACAGATGTGAGCCACCCGTGCCCAGCTTTTAATTTGATTTTATTGTCAAGGTGATATATAAAAGGGTTACAGTTACATATGTAAGGTAATGAGTACATTTCTTTTCAACTTGTTACCCCCTCCCTCATTTTTCTCCAGCTTTGCCTTCCCCCAACCCCCCCCCCCAACTTGAACCTGTTATACTAAAATAAATCCTTGTTAAAACTTAAAAAAAAATAGAAGGTTTGTATATATAAAGTAAACTAAAAAGGCTGAGGTGGCTCAGTGGTAGAGTACTTGCCTTGCATGCATGAGGCCCTGGGTTCAATTCCTCAGCACCATATAAGCAGAAAAAGCTGGAAGTGACACTGTGGCTCAAGTGGTAGAGCGCTAGCCTTTTGCTGAAGAGCTGAGTGACAGCGCCCAGGTCCAGAGTTCAGGCCCTATGACTGACAAAAAGTTTTTTTTTTAAAAAAAAGTAAATTAAGACTGCTTTTTTTCTTCCTAGCTTGTGGTAACTGGCATGAGAAACCACCCCATGAATTTGCCAGTGCAACTGGCTGCAAGTGCCTGTGTCTTTAACTTAACCAAGCAGGATCTTGCTGCAGGAATGCCTGTCCGGCTCCTGGCTGATGTAACCCATTTGCTGCTTAAAGCCATGGAACATTTTCCCAATCACCAGCAGGTAAGTACATATGAATTCCTATTCAAATAGTCCTTCTATGTTTTTCTTTTACCTCCTATCTTCATAAAATTCAGTTTAATTGACCAAGCCTGGGAGTTTAAAGTGCTTTGGGAAGCTAGATAGTTACGAATTTGTGGTTTGTGTAGAATAAGACAACAGAGAAGTAGACAACAAAGAATACTTTCCTGGGGATGCAGCTAGGTGGTAGACCATTTTTCTAGCATGCACGGAGGTAGTGGGTTCTATCCCTAGCACAGGACAAAAAAAAGTAAATGCCTCACTTAAAGGCATTTAAATATATTATTGTATAGTACAAGCCATACAAAATTCGACTTCCCCATCAAAGTAGAGTTTGTGATACTTTAAACAAGTAAGCAAATAAATATGTTCTGGACTAGGCACAACCAAATGTTGGTATCAGAAGTCAGCAAAGACAATATGTTTCTATTTCCTTCTTTACTGTGTTTGAACTTAGGGCCTGTGTTGAACCTAGGGCTCTGCAGGTGCTCTACTCCCTAGCCCTATGTTTTAAAGATTAGGAAGGCTTCCTCATAAATGTATTATTGTCCCTGTGCTAGGTTGCAAAGAAAATTTAGGAGTTTTCAAGATAAAGTAGGAGGAAGAATGGACTTGTCACACAAAGTAATTGGAATAGCATTATTGCCCTTCTTATTTCCATAGATCCTGTACAAATTCTTGCTTATTTGCTGAGAAAAATAAAAAAGAGGAAAAAGGTAACATGGGAGCCAGATCCCTCTTAATCATTTTTCTGTCAGAAACTATTCAGAATTCAGGGGAGGGAAATGCAGAGTCTATTCTATCACCTCACCGCCAATGATTCATATAAAACTTCCTGACTTGCTCAATGTCATATACTATTTTGTCTTTCTGTACCATTTCTTCTTTATATAATCTCCATATATCTTTCTTGCAAGGATATTGATTTTATATCAGTTTTTCTATTTCTTGACTAGCTGTTTGTGTATATGTGTGCGTGTGCATGTGCATGTGGAGCTTTAACTCAAGTCTCTAGTTCTTGCTTAGCTGTTTTCCTCACAGCTGGTACTTTACCACTTGAGCTATGCCTCCACTTCTGACTTTTTGCTAGTTAATTGAAAATAAGGGTCTCATGGATTTGTCTGCCTGGGCTGACTTTGAACCTGGACCTTTAGATTTTAGCTTCCTGAGTTCCTAATATTAAAGGCCTAAGCTATCTGTGCCCAGCTTTACTAGCTTTATATATTCCATTAATATGAATTTTGTTTTCTATAGTTGGACTCTTTTATATTAAATCTCCTTTAATTAACTAATTGTTTTTTGGTGCCAGGGCTTCAACTCAGGACCTTGAGCTCTCACTTGGATTGCTCATTCACAGCCACTACTCTACCACCTGAGTCATGCCTCAGTCTGGCATTTTTCTGGTTGACTGGAGATGGAGTCTTGCAGACTTTTCTGCCCAGGCTAGCTTCAAACTGAGATCTTCCAAGTCTCAACCTCCTTAGTAGTTAGGATTACAGGTATGAATCACTGCTGCCTGGCTATCTTAAGTCTTTTTTAGATGAAAGATTTTCCAACTGCACCACATATGAACGGCTTTTAAAAATGTTAAAAAAGCAACTTCCCAAATTAAAAAAAAAGTAATATACAATATGAATTTTTTTGGTGGTGGTATTTGAACATAGGCCTTTGTGCTTACTTGCTAGGCAAGTGCTTTCTTTACCTTGCTTGGTCTATGTCCCCTTTACTTTTTGCTTTAGTTTGGTTTTAGATAAGGTCTTGTGCTTTTGCTTGGACTAGCCTTCGCCTTTTATCTTCCTATTTGCCTCCTGTGTATTAGGGATTATAGCATGTTCCCCTATAACTCGTACAATATTTTATAAGCCATTAAAAGCTATTATTGACAGGAATAACCTGTGTGTTATAATGGTGTACTTTCCTTTTTCTTTTTTTGACCAGTCCTGAGGCTTGAACTCTGACCTGGGATCTGTCCCTAAGCTTTTGTGCTATAGCACTCTAACACCTGAGCTACAGCTCTTCTTCAGTTTTTTGTAATTAGTTGGAGATGAATCTCAGAGACTTTCCTGCCCTGGCTGGCTTTAAACCACTATTTTCAGATCTCAACCTCCTAATCAGCTATGATTACAGGTGTGAGCCACTGGCACCGAGTATAGTGGTATACTTTCATTGGTTGTTGAATGATTCATGTGTTTGTTCCCTTCGCGCGCCCCCCCCCCCTTTTTTTTTTTGTCAGTTGTGGGGCTTTGAACTCTGGGCTTGGGCGCTGTCTCTCAGCTATTCAGCTGAAGGTGAGCACTCTACCACTTGAGCTATAGCTCCACTTCCCATTTTTTGGTAGTTAATTGGAGATAAGAGTCTTACCGATTTTCCTGCTCAGGCTGGCTTTGAACAGTGATCCTCAGATCTCACCCTTCTGAGTAGCTAGGATTACAGGTGTGAAGCACTGGCGCCTGGCTTTCCCCTTTTTTTTTTGGTGCTAGTCCTAGGGGTTGAACTGAGGGACTGGGCACTGACCTTGAGCTCTTTTGCTCACTTGAGCTACAGTGCCACTTCGGACTTTTTTTGGTAACAAATTGGATAAAAGTCTCATGGATTTTCCTGCCTGGCCTGTCTTGGGGCCGGGAAGGTGGCTCAGTGGTAGACTGACTCACATGTATGAAGCCCTGAGTTCGATTTCTCAGTACCACATATACAGAAAAGTCCAGAAGTGGTGCTGTGGCTCAAGTGGTAGAGTGCTAGCCTTGAGCACAGAGAAGCTCAGGAACAGCGCCTAGACCCTGAGTTCAAGCCCCAGGACTGGACAAAAAAAAAAAAAAAAGAGAGACTTGGTCTCAAAAAATGAAAACAAGGGGCTGGGAAGGTGGCTCAGTAGTAGAGTGCTTGCTTTGCATGCGTGAGGCCTGGGTTCGATTCGTCAGCACCACATAAGCAAAAAGAAAAAAGCCAGAAGTGGCACTGTGGCTCAAGTGGTAGAGCGCTAGCCTTGAGCTGAAGAGCTGAGGGACAGTGCCCAGGCCCAGAGTTCAGGCCCCACGACCGAACACCCCCCCCCCCAAAAAAAAAAGAAAAAAAGAAAAAGAAAAAGCTGGGAGTGGTACTGTGTGGTTCAAGTGTAGCTCATGCTAGCCTTGAGCTGAAGAGCTCAGGGATAGTGCCCAAGCTCAGAATTCAGGGCCCAGGACCGACACAAACAAACAAACAAAATGTGTTTGAAATAATTCTGGGGCTAGGAAAATGGCTCAGTGATAGAGTACTTACCTTGCATACATGAAGCCCTGGGTTTGATTCCTCAGCACCACATAAGCAGAAAAAGCTGGAAGTGGTGCTGTGGCTCAAGTGGTAGAGTGCTAGCCTTGAGCTGAAGAGCTGAGGGACAGTGCCCAGGCCCAGAGTTCAGGCCTCAGGACTGACAAAAAAAAAAAAAAGGAAAACAAGTTAGAGTGAATATTAGTCTTTATTGAAGTGGCCAAGTATAGACTACTTCCAACATATGCTATAAATGCTATGATAGAATCAGACTTTTTTTTTTCCCCTCCAGTTTGAACTCAGGGCCTAGGTGTTGTCTTATAGCTTTTTCACTTAAAACTGATGCTTGAGTCACACACTTGAGTCACACTTCCACTTCCAGGCTTTGGTGGTTAACTGAAGAATCTCATGACTTTCTTACCCAGGCTGGCCTTGAATTGCAGTCCTCAGATTTCAGCCTCCTGAGTAGCAAAAATTACAGGCATGAGCTACTGGTTGACTTGAGTCAGACTATCTTTTTTTTTTGTCATGAGGCTTGATCTCTAGGCTTGGGCCTTGTCCCTGTGCTCTTGAGCTGAAGAGGAGCATCCCACCACTTGAACCACAGTGCCACTTCTGGTTTTCTAGTGGTTTATTGGAGATAACGGTCTCACGGACTTTCCTGCCTGGGCTGGCTTTGAACCGTGATCCTCAGATCTCAGCCTCCTGAGTAGCTAGGATTACAGGCGTGAGCAACTGACACCCTGCAGATCAGTCTATCTTAAAAGCAATTGGCTTTAATTTCTTGCTGGTGTGTCACCAGGAAAAACCTTCAACCATTGTTATTTGTATGACTATGTATATATGTGTATTAATATGTTATATCTATATACGTGCTTATGTTCATACATTGTTTTCATGGTACTAAATTGGCTTATAGATGAGTGTCCATAAATTAAAAGTGTTAAATTAGCCCAATTGCTTTCAAGTTCATATGAGTCAGGTTAATTTAAATTTGTTGCTAAAATGGAACAGTTTTTGTTTGTTTAGTTTTTTACCAGTCCTGGGGCTTGACCTCAGGGCCTGGGCACTGTCCCTGAGTTCTTCAGCTCAAGGCTAGTGCTCTACCACTAGAGCCATAGCGCCATTTCCGGATTTTTCTGTTTATGTGGTGCTGAGGAATCGAACCCATGGCGTCATGCATGCAAAGCAAGCACTCTACTGCTGAACTACCTTCCCAGCCCATCCCTCAGCTTCTTTTGCTCAAGGCTAGTTAGCATTCTACCAGTTGAGCCACAGTGCCACTTCTGGCCTTTTCTGTTTATGAGGTGCTGAGGAATTGAACCTAGGCTTCATGAATGCTAGGTAAGCTCTCTAAGCCATATTCCCAGCCCTGGGTTTTTGTTGTTGTTGTTGTTTGTTTGTTTTTTGTTTGTTTTTTTTTTGTCGGTCGTGGGGCTTGAACTCTGGGCCTGGGCGCTGTCCCTCAGCTTTTCAGCTCAAGGCTAGCGCTCTACCACTTGAGCTACAGCGCCACTTCCGGTTTTCTGGTGGTTTATTGGAGATAGGAGTCTCACAGTCTCTCCTGCCCGGGCTGGCTTTGAACCGAGATCCTCAGATCTCAGCCTCCTGAGTAGCTAGGATTACAGGCGTGAGCCACCAGCGCCTGGCTGTTGTTTGTTTTTGGTGCTAGTCCTGGGGCTTGAATTCAGGACCTAGATGAGCTGTTCCTGAGCTTGCTTTCTTTTCTTTTTTTTCCTTAAGGCTAGCACTCTGCACTTGAACCACAACTCCACTCTGGCTTTTTTGGTGACTTATTGAAGATAAGAGTCTCACAGACTTTGCCACTCAGGCTGGCTTAAAACTGTAGTCCTCATTCAGATCTCAGCCTGGTAAGAAGCTAGGATTACAGGTGTGAACCACCAGGCACCAAAATTTTTAAAGTTTTTAATTTGTGATTTTAGCTTAGGTTAGCCAATCAGAATTTTTTTTTCTTCGCTATTTAAAATTTTAAGATACAATGTTCAGTGATACCTGCATTTTAAGTACAGCAACTTTTTAATTTTTTCTTTCTAAGTAAATAATTTAAAGTACTGACTGTGCTTTTCTAACATCTTGGTTCTATTGAGAAATTAAATAGAACTTAAAAATAAATTAGGTAAATACAAAGGGATAGGTGCTTACAATATGCAGAGATAAAACATCTGAGTTATATTTAAGTCAAAGTACTGAAACACTGGTAAGTTTATTTAATGTATAGGTATTATGCCAAAATCTAAATATATAAGTTCAAACAAAGAATGTTTTCTTAGAATATCAATATCCTCTTAGGAACATTTGCAGAGAAATTGGAATAAAATTCACAGTGATTTTCTGTGTTATCAAGGTAAAAAACAGAAGTATTATTTCATTAGTCTGCTTCCTTTTTTAATGGAGACAGCCTTTAACTAAAAGATTAGGATGAAATTGGGTGGTAGTGGCTCAAACCTGTAATCCTTACCCACTCAGGAGACTGAGATTTGAGGATATTATTGGGTCAAAGTCAGCCCAGGCAGAATAGTCCAAGAGATTCTTAGCTCTAGTTAATCACCAAAATGCTGCAAGTAGAGCTGTGGTTCAGGTGGTAAGGTGCTGGCCTTAAGTGGAAAGAGCTAAGGGACAGTACCTAGGCTCTGAGTTCAGGCCCCATTGCCATAATTCAGAAAACAAAGATTAGATTGGTATTTTACTTATATATATTTTTTGTCCCTTTGATTTTTTTTTTTTTTAGTTACAGAAGAATTGCCTCCTTTCCCTTTGCAGTGACCGGATCCTTCAAGATGTTCCATTTAACAGGTAAGTGATTGACTTAAAATTCAAAATCTTACAAATCTTTTTTTTTTTTTTTCCCTCTAGTCAGTCATGGGGCTTGAACTCTGGGCCTGGGCGCTGTCCCTCAGCTCTTCAGCTCAAGGCCAGTGTTCTACCACTTGAGCTACAGCACCACTTCCTACTTCTGGTTTTTTTGAGTGGTTAATTGGAGATAAGAGTCTCCCTGGGCTTCAAACCTCAATCCTGAGATCTCAGCCTTTTGAGTGCTAGGATTACAGGCATGAGCCACCAGTACCCAGCAAAAAGTAATTCTTTACTAAGACTATGTGACCTGTTACACACCTCTGACTTCACCTCTTAGAATCTTTCCATTCTCTCAGGTCTGCCTGTCTTCCATGCTCTATCTCAAAACTCCCAGACAGCTGGGTGCTGGTGACTCATGCCTATAATCCTAGTTACTCAGAATTCTGATAACTGAGGATCGTGGTTCAAAGCTAGCCTGGGCAGGAACATCCCTGAAACTCTTTTTTTTTTCTTTTTGTCGGTCGTGGGGCTTGAACTCTGGGCCTGGGCGCTGTCCCTCAGCTCTTCAGCTCAAGGCTAGCGCTCTACCACTTGAGCTACAGCGCCACTTCCGGTTTTCTGGTGGTTTATTGGAGATAGGAGTCTCACGGTCTTTCCTGCCCGGGCTGGCTTTGAACCGCGATCCTCAGATCTCAGCCTCCTGAGTAGCTAGGATTACAGGCGTGAGCCACCAGCGCCCGGCATCCCTGAAACTCTTATCTCCAGTAAACCACCAGAAGATCGGAAGTGGCGCTGTGGCTGTAGTGGTAGAGCACTCTCCTTGTGCTCAAGAGCTGAGGGACAACACCCGGGCCCAGGGTTTAAGCCCCATGACTGACAAAACAAAAAACCCTCTCAGACACACTCCCACTTCAGTACTACTGTATTTCGAATTCCCTTTGTCTAGAATGCTTTCTCTTGGAGGTCCATGTAGCTGTCTTATTGCCTACAAAAGATTCAATGTCATCTGCCCTTGAGACGTTTTTTTCTTTTTTTGGTCATGCCCTTGAGTTTGGGCTTGGGCCCTGTCTTTGCCTCTTCAGCGCAAGGCCAGCACTCTACCACTTGAGCCACAGCACCACTTCCAGTTTTCTAGTGGTTTATTGGAGATATGAGTCTCATGGCCTTTCCTGCCTGGGCTGGCTTTGAACCATGATCCTCAGATCTCAGCCTCCTGAGTAGCTAGGATTACAGGTGTGAGCCACTGGCACCTGGCTTCCTTGCAACATTTTATATCTATTCTTCCCAGTTTTTCTCATAGCATATGTCAAAGATACTTACTTATATGATTTATTATTTTTTCTTCTTTCCTACAGTGTAAACTTTATGTGAGTAATGAGAGTAGAGATATGTTACTTGGTTTGCTGTTCTATCACTAGGAACAGTATCTGGCTCAAAGCAGGAGTTCACTAAATGAATGTCTCCATTGTGCTGGAGACACTTAATTTAAGCAGCAGTATAGAAATACTGAAATATGTCAGGCACCAGTGGCCTGCATATAATCCTAGCTATTCAGAAAGCTAAGATCTGAGGATCATGGTTTGAAGCCAGTCCAGGCAGGGAAGTACATGAGACTCTTACCTCCAATTAATCACAAAAAAGCCAGAAGTGGAGTTGTGGTTCAAGTGGTAGAGTGCTAGCCTTGAGCCTGAAAGCATAAGGACAGCGTCCAGGTCCTAAGTTCAAGTCACAGGACTATCACCAAAGGGGAAAATAATTATCACTATAGAAAAGGAAATGCTACTTTTTACTATTTTTTCCATAAGCTCTTGTTGCTTCACTAAATCTCTAAAGCACGAGGTGTCAATTATTCTCTATAAAGTTAGAGAAATTTTCCTTTTTCTTATTAACTTAAATTATAGTATCAGCTTCCATCTAGAATTCAGAAACTGTGTCTAGATCACCAGGATTAACCTAGGAAACCTTCCATGTGTTTCAGGTTTGAAGCTGCCAAACTTGTAATGCAGTGGCTTTGCAACCATGAGGATCAAAATATGCAAAGGATGGCTGTCGCTATCATTTCCATTCTGGCTGCCAAGGTAATTGATCTCTTGCTGAATGATTTTCTTTTTCTTTATTTTGCCAGTCCTGGGGTTTGAACTTGGCCTGGGCGCTGTCCCTGAGTTTTTTTTTTTTTCTTTTCCACTTGCCAATTTTTAATGTTGGCTCTTTATCAATCTTGGTACCCCTTCCCTCAATTTTCTCCTACTCCCCCCAACTGCCTCCCGAGCCTCCTCCTCCCCGCCCCCCCGCAAGTTATACAGATCATTTTGAGTTTTTTTGCTCAAGGCTAGCACTCTACCACTTGAGCCACAGCACCACTACTGGCCTTTTCTGTTTATGTGGTACTGAGGAATCAAACCCAGGGCTTCGTGCATACTAGACAAGGAAAGCACACTACCACTAAGCCACATTCCCAGCCCCTGCTGAATGATTTTGTACAGGCAGTTGTTTCCCATTTTAACTACTTTTTCCTCCCAATCTTTGTGCCAGAATCCCTCTGCTGGTCTACTTATTCAAGCTGTCTACAGTATTCAGAAGTCCAGTCACTGTCTAGTTCTTAGACATTTACTTTATTGTATGTTTTTTTTCCAGCTTTCTACAGAACAAACTGCACAACTTGGTGCTGAGCTTTTTATTGTCAGGGTAAGTTCATTACCTTCTCTATTCAGGCATAAAATAGTATTCATTTTTATTGCTGTCGGCAATGTTGTGTCAGTATTCTGTACCTTTTGACTTTGTGTGTGTGTGTGTGAGATACTTGGGATTGAACCTATGGCCCCATCCTAGGTAAGTATTCTACCACTGAGCAGTATTTTTCATAAATAGTCCCTATATTTAAAATAATTTGAAATATTTTAAAAATTATTTTAAAATAATTTAAAATATTTAAAAGGAATTTGTGGCTTACTGTATAATCCAGGGAATAATTACAAGTAAAAATCTGACATGTTCAGTAAAAAGAATAAATAAATAAAATAAATTTTTTCCTTTTTTTTTTTTTTTTTTGTTGTTGTTGTTGGTTGTGGGACTTGAACTCTGGGGCTGGGCGCTGTCCCTGAGCTCTTCAGCTCAAGGCAAGTGCTCTACTATCTGAGCCACAGTACTACTTGCTGTTTTCTAGTGGCTTATTGGAGGTAAAGAGTTTCATAGACTTTCTTGCCTGGGCTGGCTTTGAACTTCAGTCCTCACATCTCAACCTCCAAGAGTAGCTAGGATTACAGGCGTGAGCTACCAGCGCCCGCCCAGCTAATTTTTGTTTATTCTAAATGGACATGTTTGTTTGTTTTTTCATAGAGGCAGCTTTACTCCCTGATAGATGATCTAAGTTCTAACTTGTAAAGTCACTTTAAATTTAGCAAATTACTTGAACAGTTAGGACCTACTTGAACATTAAAATTTTATCTAGAGGTTTAAGGTGTAGCTCAGTGGTAAAGAACTTGCTTAGCATGCACAAGGCCCTGATTCAATTCCTAACACTAGAAAAAAAATTGTCTAAAATTCTGTGATTGTTCTTATTTTATGAAGAAAATGTAAAGCCTATTAGACACATTGTGCTAGATAATTTGAGGAAATAAATAATTTAAATACCTGATACATGATTTTACTTATAATCATTTGAGGAGTACAGTTCTAGGCCAGCCCAGACAAAAAAGTTAGAAAGATCTTGCCTTAAAAAACATGCCAGCATGGGGCTGGGAAGTTGGCTCAGTGGTAGAGCGCTTGCCTTGCATGCCTGAGGCCTTGGGTTCCATTCCTCAGCACCACATAAGCAAAAAGAAAAAAACCGGAAGTGGCACTGTGGCTCAAGTGGTAGTGTGCTAGCCTTAAGCTGAAGAGCTGAGGGACAGCGCCCAGGCAGAGTTCAGGCCCCATGACTGGACCTAAAAACAACAACAACGACAACAAAAAATGCCAGCTGCCAGGCGCCAGTGGCTCACGCCTGTAATCCTAGCTACTCTGGAGGCTGAGATCTGAGGATCTCTGTTCAAAGCCTGCTGAAAACCAGGAGTGGCGCTGTGGCTCAAGCGGTAGAGCATTTGCCTTGAGCTGAAGAGCGCAGGAACAGCGCCAAAGCTTAGAGATCAAGCCCCACGGCCAACCAAAAAAAAAAAAAATGCCAGGGGCTGGGAATGTAGCTTAGTGGTAGAGTGCTTACCTAATATGCATGAAGCTCCCAGTCCAATTCCATAGTACCACATACACAAAAGCCGGAAGTGGCACTGTGGTGGAAGTGGTAGAGTGGTAGTCTTGAGCAAAAGCAGCTCAGGAACAGTGCCCAAGCCTGGAGTTCAAGCCCCAGGATTGGCAAACAACAACAACAACAAAAAAAAATACCAAAACCTAACACCTGTGGCTTAAACCTGTAATCCACTCCTTAGGAGGCTGAGATATAAAGATGTGATTCAAAACCGGTCACAGGAGAAAAGCCTGAATGATTCTTATCTCCAGTTAAGTAACAGAAAGCCAGAAATTAAGTTGTGGCTCAAGTGGTAGAGTACTAACTTTGAGCAAACAAAGCTTAGGGACAGGATCTGAGGACCAGCACCAAAAAAAAAAAAAAAAACAACAAAAAACAGTCAGCCAGGTACTTGTGGCACATGCCTATAATCCTAGCTACTCAGGAGGCTCAGATCTGAGGTTTGTGTTCAAAGCCAGCTCATGCAGAAAAGTCTGGGAGACTATTACCTCTAATTATCAAGAGCTGGAAGTGGAGGTTTAGGTCAAGTGGTAGAGTGTTGGCCTTGAACAGAACAATAAACAAAAGCTCAAGTCCTGAGATCAAACCCTAGCCCCAGCATGTGAGCACACTTGTGCACGCATTTGCCACATGTGTGTGCATGCGTGGGCACACACACATACGATGGATATAGTAAAGGCTTATAACCTCAGTTACTTGGGAGGTATAGGTAGGAGGATTGGAGTCTGAAACTAACCCCAGCAAGAACAAGACCCTTTCAGAAAAATAATAAAGCAAAAGGGGTGGAGACATGCCTCAAGTGGTAAAGTGCCTGCCCAGCAAGCCCATATCTATGAGTTCAAAACCCAGTACCACCCCCTAAAACAACAAAAATGAAGAGACTATAGGTAGAAGCAGTATCTTTTTTTGGGGGGGTGGGTTGGGGTTGGTCGTGGGGCTTGAACTCTGCCTGAGTGCTGCCCCTGAGGTGCTCTACCACTTGAGCCACAGCACCACTTCTGGTTTTCTGGTGGTTTTTGGAGATGAGTCTCTCACAGGCCTTGAGAAGGTGGCTCAGTGGTAGAGCGCTTGCCTTGCATGCCAGAGACCCTGGGTTCGATTCCCCAGCACCACATAAGCAAAACGAAAAAAAGCCGGAAGTGGCGCTGTGGCTCAAGTGGTAGAGCACTAGCCTTGAGCTAAAGAGCTGAGGGACAGCGCCCAGGCCCAGAGTTCAGCCCCCACGACCGGACCCAAAAAAAAAAAAAAAAAAAAAAGAACCCAGCCTAAAAAATATAACCAAGCTGGGTGCCGGTGGCTTACGCCTGTAATCCTAGCTACTCAGGAGGCTGAGATCTGAGGATCACAGTTCAAGCCAGCCCAGGCAGGAAAGTCCTGACACTTATCTCCAATAAACCACCAGAAAACCAGAAGTGGCTCAAGTGGTAGAGCACTAGCCTTGAGTTGACTAGCTGAGGGACAGTGCCCAGCCCAGAGTTTCAAGCCCCATGACCGACCCAGGGGATAGATATAGATATAGAAATATGTAATACTGTAAAGAGAAGGAAAGAAGCTGGGAGCTGGTGGCTCATGCCTGTAATCCTAGCTACTCAGGAGGCTGACATCTGAGGATCCTGGTTCAAAGCCAGTGGGGCAGGAAAAGTCCTCGAGACTCTTATCTCCAATAAACCACTCAGAAAACCAGAAGTGGTGCTATGGCTCAAGTGGTAGAGTGCTAGCCTAGAGCTGAGGGACAGTGCCCAGGTCCAGAGTTCAAGCCCCATGACTAGAGAGAGAGAGAGAGAGTGAAAGTGAGAGAGAGAGAGTGAAAGTGAGAGAGAGAGAGAGAGAGAGAGGAGGTCTTTGAGACATAACAGAAAGAGCAGGAATTTCAGAGTTGACAAAACTATATTTATTCTCAATTCTGTCTTTTACTAGTTGTATGATTTTGAGCAAGTCACCTTAGTTTCTTGGTTGTGATTAAAAAAAAATATTTTAGGGGCTGGGAATGTGGCTTAGTAGTAGAGTGCTTATGTAGCATGCAAGAAGCTCTGGGTTCGATTCCTTACCACCACATAAACAGAAAAAACCAGAAGTGGTTCTGTGGCTCAAGTGGTAGAGTGCTAGCCTTGAGCTGAAGTGCTGAGGGACAGCAACCAAGCACAGAGTTTAGGCCCCACAACCAGCAAAAAACAAAACAAAAAAAACACAAAAAATCCCCTTTCAATTGGAATTAAAAATGAGTTCCAGAAACTGGAACATGTTTTTGTTTTGGTGGTTTATCTTTTTGGTGGGGGAAACAAAAGAGGGCACAGGAATGGAGATGAAGGGTGAACAAATGCAGTCATTATATTCAGATATATATTATGTAAAAAATGAATTATGCAACTTGTGAGCAGGGATGAGTGAGGGAGAATGGGGAAAGTGAAGGAAGGGTTAACATTGTCCAAGAAGTATTGTACTGACATATAGAATTATAACACCTTTGTACAACTCCTTAGTAACAATAAAAAAAAATTCAGTTGGTTTTTTTGTCATTATTGTTACTGACTTTGTTTGGTTTTCTTTTTTTTTATTGTGAAAATACTGTACAGAGGGGTTACAATTACATGGGCAAGATAATGAGTACATTTCTTATCAAGCGCATTGTAGCCTCCTCCTTTGTTTCCCCTTCCCATCCCTTCCCATCCTCCCTCCGCCCCCCCCCCCCCCCCCCCCCGCCCCAGTCAATCCTCCCCGCCCCCCCCCAAGTTTTTTTTTTTTTTTTTTTTGGGTCTGGTCATGGGGCCTGAACTCTGGGCCTGGGCGCTGTCCCTCAGCTCTTCAGCTCAAGGCTAGCACTCTACCACTTGAGCCACAGCACCACTTCCAGCTTTTTTCTTTTTGCTTATGTGGTGCTGAGGAATCGAACCCAGGGCCTCAGGCATGCAAGGCAAGTGCTCTACCACTGGGCCACCTTCCCAGCCCCCCCAAGTTTTTTTTTTTTAATTTTATTTATCCCCCATACTATAGGTGAGGAAACCAATAATTAAAATTAATTTAGTCAGATATAGTGTTTACATTTAAGCTCAGGTGACTTAATTCTGAAGCTACATTCCTAGCCATAAGTTCAATTGTACCTAGAATTTGTGCCTCTAATTTTTTTTTTTCTGAATTGCCTATAATTATGTATATGTGGGGGGCTACTGGGGTTTGAACTCAGCCTGGACATTGTCCCTTAGCTTTTTTTTTTTTTTTTTTTGTCGTCGGTCATGGGGCTTGAACTCTGGCCTTAAACGCTGTCCCTCAGCTCTTCAGCTCAAGGCTAGCCCTCTACCACTTGAGCCTCAACGCCACTTCCGGTTTTCTGAGTGGTTTATTGGAGATATGAGTCTCAAGGACTTTCCTGCCAGGGTTGGCTTTGAACCAATCCTTAGATCTCAGCCTCCTGAGTAGCTAGGATTATAAGTGTGAGCCACTGGCACCTGGCTGTCCTTTAGCTTTTTTACTCAAGGCTAATGCTCTACCACTTGGACCACAGCTCTGCTTCTGGCTTTTTGGTGGTTAATTGGAAGTAAGTCTCCTGGACTTTCCTGTCCAGGATGGCTTTGAACTGTGATGCTGGATATCAGCCTCCTGAGTAGCTAAGGTTACAGGTGTGAACCACCAGCATCCAGCCTATGTTTTCTTCAATATATATTTTAGTAGGTTCCTTTTTAACTTCAAAACTATTACTAAAAATGGAATTACGGATGCCTACTTAAACTACTTACCTTCCAAACTTAAATTTCTTAGGGTAAAACTATGATAAAAATAGTTTACAACTGGAATTTCAAGGCTATTGTCATTCTGATATCCAGCATATATTGTAATTCACTTGTCATTGTGTGTAGTGTGTGTGTGTGTGTGTGTGTGTGTGTGTAATTTCAAGGCTATTGTCATTCTGATATCCAGCATATATTGTAATTCACTTGTCATTGTGTGTGTGTGTGTGTGTATGTGTGTGTGTAATTTCAAGGCTATTGTCATTCTGATATCCAGCATATATTGTAATTCACTTGTCATTGTGTGTGTGTGTGTGTGTGTGTGTACTGGAACTTGAACTTAGGGCCTTAACACTCTTACTCAATTTTCTTGTTCATGGGTGGTACTCTACCACTTGTCCAGCATTTTGCTGGTTTATCAGAGATGGAGTCTGGTTGGCTTTTCTTCCCCAGACTGACTTTGAGCCATGATCCTCCAGGACTCACCTTCCTGAGTAGCTGGAACTACAAGAGTGATGCATCAGTACCTAGTTATTTTTTTCTTAAGGAAAATGTGGAATTTGTTAGAATCAGGCCAGTTAGGTCTTGAAATTCTTACTTCTTTTATTAAGTTGACTGTGATCACATTACTTAATATTTCTCATACTGTTTCCTGCCCTGGGAAATGGTATAATAGTATTATAATATAGAATGTAATTTATTGGTACTTAGTAAATATCAGTTTTACTCTCCACCTTTTTTTATCCCAAGCTCAGCTTGTTTCAGGGCTGAGGACACTCTCTTTAGTGGTAGAGGCCTTGGATTTAATCCCAAGTACCACCTTAAAAAGAAAGAAAAAAAAAGAAGGGAGGGAGGGAAGTAGAGTTGGGAAGGAGGGAGGGTTGGAAAGGAGGGAGGGAAAGGAAGATGATAGCTGGTCAAAGTTTCAATCATGTGCTTTTAAGTGTTATTCACATATGATTAATTACAGGCATCAGCAAAAAAACATAGAGCATTTATCAAAATCCCACTGAAAGCAAGGTATGATCCTTGGGACTGTTGTATTTATAAAAAACCCTTCATGCTGGGCATATTAGCGCTTGAAAGACAGGGGCAGAGATTCATGAATTCAAGTCCAGCCTATGATAATCCTCATGGATTTGTGGGTATAAATTATCTTAAATTTTACAATTCTGTTTTCTTTTCAGCAACTTCTTCAAATAGTGAAGCAGAAAACCAATCAGAATTCAGTGGACACTACATTGAAGTTTACTCTGAGTGCACTTTGGAACCTTACAGATGAATCCCCAACTACTTGCAGACACTTTATTGAAAACCAAGGGTTAGAACTTTTCATGAGGGTTCTAGAGGTCAGAACCAGAATTTAGTTTCATTTTAACATTTATTAACTTATTTCAACAATTACTTGCTATATTTGATTCTTTGAGGAGTTATAAGTTTCTCTTCTTTTACAGTCCTTCCCAACTGAGTCATCCATTCAACAGAAAGTTCTAGGACTTCTGGTAAGATACGAACTTTTCCTGTTACATCTCAATGTGTAATAATTTTCTGTTTAAGGGAATACATTGGAAGTTGCTGCTGTAGCATTTGTGAATACTTAATGGCATTGGAGAATACATGCATACAATAATTTTTTTTAAGTGAAGAATAAAAGAGGGAGCTAGGTGCCAGTGGCTCATGCCTGTAATCCTAGTTACTCAGCTCTTCAGCTCAAGGCTAGCGCTCTACCACTTGAGCCACAGCGTTTCTTCTGGCTTTTTTTCTTTTTGTTTATGTGGTGCTGGGGAATCGAACCCAGGGCCTCATGCATGCAAGGCAAGCACTCTACCACTGAGCCACCTTCCCAGCCCTCCGTGAGACTCTTATCTCCAATTAATCACCAGAAAACTACAAGTGGCACTGTGGCTTAAGTTGTAGAGTGCTAGCCTTGAATTGAAGAGCCAAGGGACAGTGCCTAGGCTGAGAGTTCAGGCTCTACGACTGACAAAAAAAAACAACACATAAATGAATTTATTATTTATGTAGGGAATAGTACTTCGACATTACATCACTTTATAGTAGTATTTATCAAGCTATACCTTGTGAGTGCTCAAAAACAAAACAGCTAAAATGTAACTTCAAAAAACTCTAATAGTGGGCTGGGAAGGTGGCTCAGTGGTAGAGCGCTTGCCTTGCATGCCTGAGGCCCAGGGTTCGATTCCTCAGCACTATATAAGAAAAAAGAAAAAAGCCGGAAGTGGCGCTGTGGCTCCAGTGGTAGAGCGCTAGCCTTGAGCTGAAGAGCTGAGGGACCGTGCCCAGGCCCAGAGTTCAGGCCCACGACTGGACCAAAAAAAAAAACACAAAAACTCTAATAGTTTTTGTGGGATAATTTACAAGTGTTTTTTTTTTGCCAATCCTGGGGCTTGAACTCAGGGCCTGGGCACTGTCCCTGAGCTTCTTCTGTGTGCTCAAGGCTAGCACTCTACCACTTGAGCCACACCACCACTTCTGGCTTTTTCTGTTTATGTGATACTATGGAATTGAATCCAGGGCTTCATGCATGCTAGGTAAGCACTCTACCAATAAGCCACATTCCCAGCCTGGATTTTGGCTTTTTTTTTGGGGGGGGGGGGGGTCCAGTCGTGGGGCCTGAAACTCTGGGCCTGGGTGCTGTCCCTCAGCTCTTCAGCTCAAGGCTAGTGCTCTACTACTTGAGCCACAGCGCCACTTCCAGCTTTTTTTCTTTTTGCTTATGTGGTGCTGAAGAATCGAACCCAGGGCCTCAGGCATGCAAGGCAAGCACTCTACCACTAAACCACATTCCCAGCCTGGATTTTGGCATTTTTTATTTTTCTTTTTTTTTTTTTTTCTTTTTTTTTTTTTTTTACTTTTTTTTTTCTTTTTTTTTTTTTTTTTTTTATTGTAAAGCTACTATACAGAGGGTTACAGTTACATGAGTGAGGTTATGAGTACACTTCCTCTTGAACATTGTTACCCCCTCCATTGTTTTCCCCCTACCATCCCCTCCCTCCCTCCCTTCCCCGAGGTTCTTTTTTTTTTTTTTTTTTTTTTTATTGTGATTAAATGATTACATAATTTCAAAGTCACAAGTTCATTCTAACTTCCCTGGAGCAAATTGTCTACCACAGTCTGTAATATATAACAGTGTTCACATGTTATATACCATATTTGTGATCAGCAGCATGAGGATATTTAGTAGTGGTTCAACCAGATGAGCGGGAGTTCTTTGTTTCTTAAGTCCTGTTAGTTTTGTCGTATCACCTAACCTTTTGGATTTAGCATCCACTTATGAGGGAGACCATGTACCGTTTGTCTCTTCGTTCTTGGCTTACCTCGCTCAACATGATTCCTTCTAGTTCCATCCATTTCCCTGCAAATGCCATTATTTTGTCATTTCTAATGGCTGCATAATATTCCATTGTGTATAGATACCACAATTTTTGGATCCATTCATCTGTGGTGGGGCACCTAGGTTGTTTCCATATCCTAGCTATTGCGAACAGTGCTGCAATAAACATGGAGGTGCACGTGTCCTTGTATATTGGTTCCTGTTGTTCAGGGTAGATGCCTAGAAGTGGTATGACTGGGTCGTAAGGGAGGTCAATCTTTAGCTTTCTAAGGACCCTCCAGACTGCTTTCCAAAGTGGTTGTATAAGTGTACATTCCCACCAGCAGTGTAATAGGGTTCCTCTTTCTCCACATCCCCTCCAGCATTTGTCGTTGGCTGATTTGTGGATGTGGGACATTCTGACTGGGGTAAGGTGGTATCTCAGGGTTGTCTTTATTTGCATTTCCTTCACCACCAGGGATGATGAACATTTCCTCATGTGTTTCTTTGCCATTTTTATTTCTTCATTTGAGAAGTCCCTCTTTAGTTCCCTTGCCCATTTAGTAATTGGTTTGTTAGGTTTGGGAGGGATTAGTTTCTTGAGTTCCCTGTATATACAGGATGTTAACCCCTTGTCTGATATATTGCTGGTAAATATTTTTTCCCAATTAGTTGGTTGTCTTTCTAGCTTAGTTGCGATAGATTTAGCTGTGCAGAAGCTTTTTATTTTAAGGTAGTCCCATTTGTCGAGTCTCTCTCCAACTTGTTGTGACCCTGGGACTCTGTTCAGGAAGTTCCTTCCTGTGCCTATTAGTTCAAGTGTCTCTCCTACTCTGTCCTGCAGTAGTTTCAGAGATTCAGGTTTAATGTTAAGGTCTTTAATCCATTTTGAGTTGATGTTGGTGCATGGTGATAGGCTGGGGTCCACTTTTAGTTTTCTGCATGTGGCTGCCCAGTTTTCCCAGCACCAGCGGTTGAAGAGGCTGTGTTTCTTCCATTGTATGTCTTTGGCTCCTTTGTCGAATATCAGCTGGCTGTAGGCCTGTGGATTTATATCTGGATCTTCTATTCTGTTCCATTGGTCTTCGGGTCTGTTTTTGTGCCAGTACCATGCTGTCTTTGTGATTATAGCTCTGTAGTAGAGTTTGAAGTTCGGCATGGATAGCCCTCCCATATTGTCTTTATCCCCTAGAATTGTTTTGGCTATTCTAGGTCTTTTGTTGTTCCATATAAATTTTTGGACTGTTTTCTGTATTTCAGTGATGTACGTCATTGGGATTTTTATAGGAATTGCATTGAATTTGTATATTAGTTTTGGAAGTATCACCATCTTTACTATATTAAGTCGGCCTATCCAGGAGCATGGGAGGTCTTTCCATTTCCTAGTATCTTCTGCAATTTCTTTCTTTAACTTTTTATAGTTCTCATTAAATAGTTCTTTTACATCTTTGGTTAGGTTAATTCCTAAATATTTTATTTTTTGGGAGGTTATTGTGAATGGGGTTGCTCCCTTTATTTCCCTCTCTTCCTGTGCGTTATCAGTGTATAGGAAGGCAACTGATTTTTGTGGGTTTATTTTGTATCCTGCTATTTTGCCGAAGTGACTTATGATTTCTAAAAGTTTGGGGATGGAGTTTTTGGGATCGTGGAGGTATAGTATCATGTCGTCTGCAAAAAGGGATAGTTTCACTTCTTCTTTCCCTATGCGGATCCCTTTAATGTCTTTTTCTTGCCTTATTGCCCTGGCTAAGGGTTCTAGGACTATGTTGAAGAGGAGTGGAAACAGTGGACATCCTTGCCTTGTTCCTGTTTTTAGGAGGATTGGTTGTAGCTTTTCCCCATTAAGTATAATATTGGCTATTGGTCTGTCATAAATGGCTTTTATTGTTTTTAGAAATGTTCCTTCTATTCCTATTTTCTCCAGAGCTTTTAGCATGAATGAATGTTGAATTTTATCAAAGGCCTTTTCTGCATCTGTGGCGATAATCATGTGATTCTTGACCTTGGCTCTGTTGATATGCTGGATTACATTTATTGACTTACGTATGTTAAACCATCCCTGTGTCTCTGGGATGAAGCCTACCTGATCATAGTGTATTATTTTTTTAATGTGTTTCTGGATTCTGTTAGCTAGAATCTTGTTAAGGATCTTTGCATCTGTGTTCATCAAGGAGATTGGCCTGTAATTCTCCTTTTTGGTTGGGTCTTTGCCTGGTTTGGGGATGAGTGTGATATTGGCTTCGTAGAATGAGTTTGGGATAGCTCCCTCCTTCTCTGTTTCTCTGAAGAGCTTGAGGAGTATGGGTATTAGTTCTTCTTTAAAGGTCTTATAGAATTCTGCTGTGAATCCATCTGGTCCTGGGCTTTTTTTTGTTGGAAGACTTTTGATAGCTTCCTGTATCTCATTATAGGATATTGGCTTATTTAATTGGTTAACTTCTTCTTTGCTCAGTTTGGGTAACTTGTATTTCTCTAAAAATGCATCCATTTCCGCCAGATTTTCTTCCTTTAGAGAGTATAGCTTTTGAAAGTAGTCTGTTAGAATTGTTTGGATATCTTGGGTGCGTGTTGTGATGTTTCCCGTGGCATCCCTAATCCTATTAATATGGGTTTCCTCTCTTCTTTTTTTAATTAATCTTGCCAACGGGCCATCAATTTTGTTTATTTTTTCAAAGAACCAGCTTTTTGTTTGGTTTATTTTGGTTATGGTTTTCTGATTTTCTAATTGGTTAATCTCTGCTCTCAATTTGGTTATCTGGCTTCGTCTAGTAGCTTTAGGTCCCATTTTTTCTTGTTTTTCTAGCTGTTTTAGTTGCATCATGAGATTATTTACTTGGTCTGTCTCCATTCTCTTGATGTGGGCACTGAGGGCAATAAATTTGCCCCTCAGGACTGCTTTTGCTGTGTCCCACAAGTTTCTTTGTGAGGTGTTTTCATTTTCATTGAGTTCTAGGAAATGCTTTATTTCTTCTCTGATCTCTTCTGTTACCCAGGCCTTGTTAAGGAGTGTGCTGTTCAATTTCCATGTATTAGAGAAATTTCTGCGGTATGCTTTGTTATTGAGAGCTAGCTTGATTCCACTGTGGTCAGATAGGATACAGGGGATTATGTCGATCCCTTTGTATTTGCTTAAGTTCCTTGAATGAACTATGATATGGTCTATTTTGGAGAAAGTTCCATGAGCTGCTGAGAAGAATGTGTACTGTGTTGTTTTAGGGTGAAATACTCGGTAGATGTCAGTTAATTCCGCTTGAAGTATGGCCTCACTTAATTCGGTAGCTTCTTTACCAATCCTCTGGTTGGTAGACCTGTCCTTTGGTGAGAGTGGCGTGTTAAAGTCTCCTAGTATTATCGTATTGGGATCTATTTTATTCTGTAAGTTTGAGAGCATTTGTTTAACATATCTGGGTGCACCAATATTTGGGGCATATAAGTTGATGATGGTTATATCCTCCTCTTGGATTGTTCCCTTTATTAATATGTAGTGTCCGTCCTTGTCTTTCTGTACTGATTTTAATGAAAAGTTTATTTTGTCAGATATCAGGATAGCTACACCTGCTTTCTTATTGGGGGAATTTGATTGGTAGATCCTTTTCCACCCCTTCACTCTGAGTTTGTTTGTATGTTTGGCTGAGAGGTGGGTCTCCTGAAGGCAACAGATGGATGGGTCTTGTTTTCTGATCCAGTCCTCAGTTCGTTTTCTTTTAATTGGCGAATTCAGCCCATTTATATTAAGAGAAAGTATAGAGAGATGCATTGTTGTCCCTGCCATTCCGTTTTCCTAAGTTTTTCTTCTTTCCTTTCCTCCTGTGCTTGCTCAGTTAGACTTTGAGTAATGCCTGTTTGGGGCAGGTCCCAGTTCCTGGTTGCTTTCTTCAGGTTGTGTCCCCCCTCTTAGAATTCTTTGTAATGCTGGCTTAATGTTTATGTATTCATTTAGTTTTTCTTTGCTATTAAAAGTTTTCAGTTCTCCATCGAATGTGAATGCTAGCTTTGCCGGGTATATCAGTCTGGGTTGGCAGTTATTGGCTCTCAGGGCTCGTATGGTGCTTTCCCAGGCTTTTCTTGCATTCATTGTTTGTGTGGAGAGATCTGCAGTGATTCTAATTTTTTTCCCATTGTAGTATAGCTCCTTCTTCATTTTTGCTGCATGCAGGATTGTTTCCTTATTATTCAGATCCATCATTGTTACTATTATGTGCCTAGAAGTGTTTCTCCTGGGATCTTGCTTGTTGGGTGTTCGATAAGCTTTTGTGATGTAGTTAAGATGGTCGTTTTTGAGGTGGGGAAAATTTTCATTGACTATCTTGTTAAATAGGTGTTGCATTCCCTTGCTCTGGAATTCCTCACCTTCGTCCACTCCGATTATGCGAAGGTTAAATTTTTTAGCATTATCTGCTTGCTCTTGAATTTCCCTTTGGTTTAATTTGAGTGATTTTTCCATATCTGTCACTTTTTGGTCCAGTTGGTGTATTCTGTCTTCTGTATCTGACACTCTACCTTCCATTTCATTCACTCTGTTGACCGTGGCTTCTATTGTGGTTTGCATGGTGGAAATGGATCCCTTTATGGATTCAATGTTGGTTCTCAGAGTACTGATCTCACCTCTCAATGAGGTGAGATCAGTATGCATTACCTCTAATTTGGCGTTTATCTCACTTCTTACTGAGGTTTGTGCAGCTTCTATTTTTGCATCCAATTTTTGTTTGATGTCCTGTATATCTTTTGATAGTTCATCCTTGTGCTCTTTCAATTTCTGATCCATTTCTCGCTTTATTTCTTGAGTCATTGCCTCCAGCAACCCTTGGATGTAGTTTTTGTCTTCCATTCCTGCTTTGCTCCCACTGGGGCTCTCCCCTGCGTGGCTGCTGGCTTTTGAGGTGAGCTTGCTGTCCTGGGTAGTGGTAAACCTTGTGATTTTTCTCTGTGATTTTCGCATGGGGGTTCAGGAGACTGCTCTTCAATCTTGTTTTGGTGTGTCTGTCTTTGCTTGGTTGCTGATTCTGTATTGGTAGAGAGAGTCTGTGCCTGATCTGGATTCTATTGGGAGCCTATTTCCAGCTGCTATTCACTTAGGATTCTCAGCTCTCTGCTGTAGCAATTCCCGCCTTTGGAAGGGTTGAGCAGCCTGGACTGCTTGTGTTTGCTCCTGCGGGTGCTCTTGGGAAGATCAGATGCTCTGGATGCACTCTCCCAAATACTGGAGTCTGCTGTGGGCTCCTGATGTGTTTTTGTTTGTTTGTTTTGGGCTGGTTGTGGGCTTGAACTCTAGGTTTGGGTGCTGTCCCTCAGCTCTTCAGCTCAGGGCTGGCACCCTACCATTTGAGCCACAGCCCCACTTCTGACCCTTTTTGCTTTGTTCAGGCGCCGGTCCCCTGGCCTGGTTCCGGCCCCAGCCTGGAGCGCGCTCGTTAGGCCTGTGCTAATGTGTATACCACCTTGGTTATGCAGCCTGGAGGACACAGTTCAAATTTCTTCTACTGTTGGTAGTCTTGACCCAGGGGCACTGTTCCTGGCTTGAGCATTTAAGCTCCCTTCCAGGGGCGCTCTTGCTCTGGCCTGGCCAGCAGAGTGTGCTCTACCGGCTGGTGGAGCTCTCGAACAGTTCCCAGTTTTAGTGGGTCCTGTGGTCCGGGTGTTGGGGTAGGGAGTCTAGGTCAGGGTCTGGGGATTCCCTCCAGCTCTGATCTCCCTTGATGGATTCCCTGTCCCCTGATGGGTACTCACCCTGTAGGTCGTCAGTTGTTGTTGCAGTCCGTCAGTTGTTGTTGCAGTCCGAGTTCAGTTGGGGTGGTTGCGGGCTGGGTTGGGCGGCCCCCCGCCGTCGTTGCGATCGCGATTGGGCGGGTGGGTCTGCGGACAGGTCCCTTTGTGGCGCTGCTGGTGCCGGGCGGCTTTGGCGGGATGGAGCCTCTCCGCTCCGGTGGAGAGTGATGGGTGGGGTGGGATCCTCCTGGAGACTCCCGGCTGGTAGGTTTCTCTGTTCCTGGCGATCCGCTGTTCTGCAATCCGGTACCTGGTGATCTGCAAGCAGCCCCCTGTGTCTCTGTGGCTCCGGCAGCCCCCGCCGGGCCGGCTGGCCGGCGGCTTGGCGCACTGCCGCGCGGCCAGTAAAGGTTGGGGGAGGGGTCTTCGCTCTTCTCTGTTCTGAAATTCTTCTTTTCCTCTCTTTCTTTTTTTTGTTATCTTCCACCTCTGGTTTTTCTCTGAGTGTTCGTCTTTTTGTTGTTGTCGGTCTCTTGGGGAGATTAAACGTTGGAACTCGAACTCTCTTTTTGGTTGGAGAGAGCTGTGGCGTTTCCCTACTGCCCCGTCGCCATCTTGGTCCCCCCCGATTTTGGCATTTTTAAAGGAAAAATAAATACACATTTCTGGGCATTATACTAAATTTCATATTGAACATGGTTTACTTTATAGTCAGAAAAAAAGATGCTATCAACAAGTGACCTCAAAAGCCGGGCGCCGATGGCTCATTCCTATAATCCTAGCTTCTCAGGAGGCTGATATCTGAGAGTTGAGGTTCAGACCCAGCCTGGGCAGGAAAGTCTGTGAGACTCCCCAGTTAACCACCAGAAAACCAGAAGTGGTGCTGTGGCTCAGAGTGGTAGAGTGCTAGCCTGGAGCAAAAAAACTCAGGGATGGCACCTAGGCCCGGAGTTCAAGTCCCACAACTTACCAAAAAAAAAAAAAAAAAGACATCAAGACAGGCACCAGTGGATCACACTTGTAATACTAGCTATACAAGAAGTTGAGACTTAGAGAATCTCAGAAGCAAACCCAAGTAAGAAAGTCTAGAAGACTCCTATCTCCAATTAAGTAGCTAAAAGCCAGACTGGAGGTGTGGTTCTAGTGATAGAATGCCAACTTTGAGCAAGAAAACTCAGCAACAGTGTGAGGCCCTGAGTTCAAGCCTCAGTACCAGCAAAAGAAGGAAGGAAAGGAAAAATTCTGTGTACAGGTCCTGGGGCTTGAACTCAGGGCCTGGGCACTATCCCTGAACTTTTGTGCCCAAGGCTAGCACTCTACCACTTGAGCTACCCTCAACTTTTGGCTTTTTGGTAGTTAATGGAGACAAGAGTTTCATAGATATTCCTGCTCAGGCTGGCTTTGAACCATGATCTTCAAATCTTAGCTTCCTGAGTAGCTAGGATTACAGGCATGAGCCACTGGCACCCGGCTTTACCTTGTATTATATTATTATCCTGCCAAAAATTTGATAAGAATTTTGTTCAGGTATATCATTTCTGTCTATCAGTGCATGTGTTTATCCGTATGTTTGTCTTTCTCCCTCTGTGTATGTGTATATCCATCCCTTTCTGATTCTGATACTATGATGTTTTTCTTCTATACACAGTTTAGCAGCATGGCAACCCTAAACTATGATTTTTGTCTTCTCAGCTTAACAAAATTGCCAGGTTCTCTTTGACTCCTGGTTCTCCTTATTTTTATTGCAATATGGAAACTGCTCCATTTGAATACTTCAACTCTGATTAGCTTCTGGTCTTTTTCAGTGTTGGAAAGCAGTTCTCCCAACCACTTACAAATATACAAATCACTTAAACTCTTGTACCCTCTTTTTTGTTTCAGAACAATATAGCTGAAGTACAAGAATTACATTCTGAATTAATGTGGAAGGATTTTATAGACCACATCAGTAGTCTCCTACACAGTGTTGAAGTGGAAGTCAGTTACTTTGCAGCTGGAATTATTGCCCATTTAATATCCAGAGGTGAACAAGCTTGGACACTGAGCCGTAGCCAGAGAAATTCTCTTCTTGATGACTTGGTAGGGTCATTTAGTGTTTTCTGAAGGAATATAAACAATATTCATAACTGCTAAAATGTCAGTTCACCATTATGTAATAATATGATGCTAAATAACCATTGTAATTTTTGTGTGTGTGTCTTTATGTCTTTTCTAGCACTCAGCTATATTGAAATGGCCAACTCCAGAATGTGAGATGGTAGCATACAGGTAATTACCACAATTAATAATAAGCCAGTAACCTGGCCATTTTTCTTTTTCTTTTCTCTCTTTTTTTTGGCCAGTCCTTAGGCTTGAACTCAGGGCCTGGGCACTGTACCTGAGCTGCTTTTGCTCAAGGCTAGTACTATATCACTTGAACCACAATGCCATTTGCAGCGTTTTCTGCTTATGTGGTCCTGAAGAATCAAACCCAGGGATTCATGCATACAAGACAAACATTCTACCACTAAGCCACATTCCCAGCTCTGATCATTTTTCTTATCTCAAGATTACTCATTCCCAGGCCTTTCCCCACCTCGTGGAGGACCAAGATGGCCTGGTACCAACCGGAATGATGAATAAACCTACCCCTTACCTGAAAAAAAAAAAAAAAAAAGATTGCTCATAGTCGGGGTCTGGTGGCTCCTGCCTGTAATCCTAGCTACTCAGGAAGCTGAGATCTGAAGGTCATGCTTTGAAGCCTCGTGAGACTCTTATTGCCAATTTACCACTCAAAAACTGGAAGTGGTGCTGTGGTTCCAGTGATAGAGCACTAGGCTTCAGCACAAAGAAGCTCATGGATAGTGCTCAGGCCTGAGTTCAAGCCCCAGGACTGGCCCAAAAGAAGATGACTCATATGTAATTTTTTTTTTGCCAGTTATGGGACTTGAACTCTGAGTCTGGGCATCGTTCCTCACCTCCTCAGCTCCAGGCTAGCGTTCTACCACAGCACCACTTCCAGTTTTCTGGTGGTTTATTGGAGATAAGAGTACCATGGGACAGGAAAGTCTGGCTTTGAACCGAGATCCTCAGATCTAAGCCTCCTGAGTAGCTAGGATTACAGGCATGAGCCACAGGTGCCCAGCTCATATGTAATCTTTGAAGTATCTCAGTACTGGCTTTTTTTTTTTTAATGTATTTTAACTTTTTTCTATCACTTATTCCATCCTTAATTCATATGTATTGACAATAAGTTCTAGGGATTTGTTCTGTGTTCTTAAAATTAAAGGTGACTAAGACATGATGCTACACAAGAACTTTATTATTTATTTATTACTACTATTATTTTTACTTTTACTTTTTGTAGGCCTTGGGACTTGAACTCTGGGCCTGGGCGCTGTCCCTCAGCTCTTCAGCTCAAAGAGAACATTCTGCTGCTTAAGCCACAGTGCCACTTCTGGTTTTCTAGTGGTTTGTTGGAGATAAGAGTCTCATAGACTTTTCTGCCTGGGCTGGCTTTAAACCATGATCCTCAGATCACAGCCTCCTAAGAAGCTAAAATTATAGGCATGAACCATTGGTTCCCAGCTAAGAACTTTATATTTTATGAAGGAGATCACAATATCTAGCATAATATTTATATTCAATCATAATATCTAGCATATATTATAATGTCTATAAGATAATATTTATCAAGATAAATCAAGATATCTATCAAGATATCATAATATCTATCAAGATAACTACAAGATCTATAGGATAATATCTAACAGTATTATGCTAGATGTTGAGAATGTTATAAAAGTGAGAGCACTTAGCTGGGTGCTAGTGGCTCACACCTGTAATCCTAGCTACTCAGGAGGCCGAGATCTGAGGATCGAGGTTCAAAGCCAGCCCGGGTAGGAAAGTCTGTGAGACTTTTTTTTTTTGGGTCCAGTTATGGGGCCTGAACTCTGGGCCTGGGCACTGTCCCTCAGCTCTTCAGCTCAAGGCTAGCACTCTACCACTTGAGCCACAGTGCCACTTTTTTCTTTTTTCTTATGTGGTGCTGAGGAATGGAACCCAGGGCCTCAGGCATGCAAGGCAAGCGCTCTACCACTGAGCCACCTTCCCAGCCCAAGTCTGTGAGACTCTTATCTCCAATAAACCACTAGAAAACCAGCAGTGGTGTTGTGGCTCAAGCAGTAGAGCACTGGCCTTGAGCTGAAGAGTGCAAGGACAGTGCCCAAGCCCAGAGTTCAAACCCCACCACTAACCAAAAAAAAAAAAAAAAGCACTTAATTCTATACTAGAAGACGATAAAAAAGTTTTCAAAGGAGGTAAATTGTAAACTGACTTAGAAAGACAAATAAGGGCAAGAGATTTTTAGGAAGAGAAGGCATGGAGTTTTAGAATAATATGACTACATTGAGGAACTAGAAGTACACATTTTTTGGGAAAACAATTGCAATAATAAGGTGCATACTGTCTAATCCTGATGATGTCAATTAAGTCACTTGTTAGGCAGTTTATTCATTATCTGAAATACTCCAATTGCTATACAATTAACTTTATTGCAACTTTTTGTGTGTGTGTGCTGTTACCAGCACTTAAACTCAGGGAACTTACACTTTTGCTCAGCTTTTTCAGTTGTAGCTGTCCTGAAAAAGCCACTTGAGTCATGCCTCCAATTTAACTTTTTTACTGACTTATTGTATATAGAAGCTCTTGGATTTTTCTGCCTGGACTGCCTTTGAACCACAGCCCTTAAATCTTAGCTTCCTGAATAACTAGGGTTACAGGTATGAGCCACCAATGCCTAGCTGCAACTTATTTTTGTTGACTACTTCATATGTGTATCTTGGGTGAGTACTAGTAGCTCACACCTGTTATTATAGCCTCTTAGGACTTTTGAGATCTGAGGATCAGGAATCAAAGCCAGCCCAGGCAGGAAAGTTGTGACATTCTTTTTTTTTGGTCCGGTCGTGGGGCCTGAACTCTGGGCCTGGGCGCTGTCCCTCAGCTCTTCAGCTCAAGGCTAGCACTCTACCACTTGAGCCACAGCGCCACTTCCGGCTTTTTTTTCTTTTTGCTTATGTGGTGCTGAGGAATCGAACCCAGGGCCTCATGCGTGCAAGGCAAGCGCTCTACCACTGAGCCACCTTCCCAGCCCCAGTTGTGACATTCTTATCTCCAGTTAACCATCCAAAAGCCAGAAGTAAAGCTGTGGTTCAGCTGGTAGAACACTAACCTAGAGCAAAAAAAAAAAAACAACCTCAGGGACAACACTTAGAATGTAAGCCCCAGGAGTGGCACAACAAACCAATAGTAGAACTGTGGCTCAAGTAGTAGAGCACTAGCCTGGAGCACAAGAGCTCAGGGACAACACTCAAAGCCCTGAATTCAAGCCCCAGTAAACTGACTTAGAAAGACAAATAAGGACAAGAGATTTTTAGGAAGAGAAGGCATGGAGTTTTAGAATAATATGACTACATTGAAGAACTAGAAGTACACATTTTTTGGGAAAACAATTGCAATAATAAGGTGCATACTGTCTAATCCTGATGATGTCAATTAAGTGAATTCAAGCCCCAGTTTGGTACAAAAAAAAAAAGAAAGAAAGAAAAAGACACTATGTATAGAATATAACTTTGGTTCTTTTCTTTTAAACTTTAGGTCCTTTAATCCATTTTTCCCACTGCTTGGCTGTTTCACAACACCTGGAGTCCAGTTATGGGCAGTTTGGGCCATGCAACATGTCTGCAGCAAGAATCGTATGTACTAAAAAAGAGAACCATGCTTTCCTGTTCAAGTGAAATTCTGCTTTTATAGGAAACCTAAGAAAGCTCCCTGCTTCCCCTCCCCTCCCCTCCCCTCCCCTCCCCTCGTCTTAAGGATCAGCCCAGTGGCTAGGCAAACACTTCATTATGAAATTACATTTCTAGCCAGGCTCTGGTGGCTCACACCTGTAATCCTACCTTACTCAGGAGGCTGAGATCTGAGGATCACCATTTATAGCCAGCTTAAGTCCAGGAGATTCTTATCTCCAGTAAACCACCAGAAACACTGAAGTGGTGCTGTGGCTCAAGTGGTAGAGTGCTCGCCTTGAGCTGAAGAATGCTGGGACAGCATCTAAGCCCAGAGTTCAAGCCCCATGACCAACAAAAAAATAAAAATAAAAAAATTACATTTCTAACTAGGAAAGCCTTTTTGGGGAGGGGGGGCTGAGGGGTCATGGGGCTTGAATTCTGGTCATAGGGCTTGTAATCAGGGCTTAGGCATTTGTTGTCCCTGAGCTTTTTTTTTTTTTTTTGGTTAGTCGTGGGGCTTGAACTCTGGGCTTGGGTGCTTTCCCTGCACTCTTCAGCTCAAGGCAAGCACTCTACCCCTTGAGCCACAGCACCACTTCTGGTTTTCTAGTGGTTTATTGGAGATAAGAGTCTCATGGACTTTCTTGCCCTGGCTGGCTTTGAACTATAACCCTCAGATATGAGCCTCTCCAGTAGGATTACAGGTATGAGCCACCGGTGCCCGCCCTGAGCTCCTTTTGCTCAAGGCCAGCACTATCATTTAGAGTCACAGCATTACTTCCAGTTTTCTGGTGGTTAATTGGAGATAACAGTCTCAGAGACTTTCTTGCTCAGGTTGGCTTTGAACTTTGATCCTCAGATCTCAGCCTGCTGAGTAGTGAGGCATGAGCCACAAAAGCCCAGTTAAAAATGCCATTTCTGGTTTATTCTTGTTGTAAGTTTTTTTAAATAATATATTTTTTATTGTAAAGATAGTGATGTGGCTCAAGTGGTACACCACTAGCCTTAATCATAAAGAGGCTTAGGAGCCAGGCACCAGTGGCTCATGCCTGTAATCCTAGCTACTCAGGAGCCTGAGATCTGAGGATTCCAGTCCAAAGCCAGCCAGGGCAGGAAAATCTGTGAGACTCTTATCTGTAATAAACTACTGGAAAACCGGAAGTGGTACTGTGGCTCAAACGGTATAATACTAGCCTTGAGCTGAAGAGCACAGGGACAGCACCCAAGCCCAGAGTTCAAGCCCCAAGATTGACCAAAAAAAAAAAGGTTTAGAGAGAGTGAACACACACCCTGAGTTCAAGCCCAACTGACCAAAAATAAATAAAAGAGTATGTTTCTTTGTTGTAGTTTTAAGGACATTGACTTTTGTTTTGGGTTGGATTTTTGCTTGTCTGTTTTGCAATATTAGAGTTTGAACTGCTGGCTTGCCACAAAGGTTTCTTACCACTTGAGCTATGGCTCCAGACTAGGACACTGACTTTTAAATATTCACTTTAAGAGAATTGGCTGGGTGCTGGTATCTTGTGCCTGTAATCCTAGCTATTCAGGTGACTGAAACTGAGGATTAAGATTCAAAGCCAGGGCTGGGAAAGTGGCTCAGTGGTAGAGCACTTGCCTTGCATGCATGAGGCCCTGGGTTCTATTCCTCAGCACCACATATGCAAAAAGGAAAAAAGCCGGAAGTGGCGCTATGGCTCACAAGGTAGAGTGCTAGCCTTGAGCTGAAGAGCTGAGGGACAGCACCCAGGCCCAGAGTTCAGGCCCCACAACTGGACCAAAAAAAAAAAAAATATTCAAAGCCAGCTTCTGCCAGTAACCAGCAAATACCAGAAGTGGAGGTATGACTAAAGTGGTAGAGCACCACCCTAGAGCAAAATGCTAAGAATATAAGGCCCTGAATTCAAGTCCCAGTATTGGCACAAAAATAGTTAAGAGAATTGTTTATTATAAACAAAATACCAGAAAACAGACCAACAAGTAAACAAATGGATTCTTTAAAATGAACTTTGCAACACTCACAATAGTAGATTACTGTTCTATCCTCAAGCAATTTAAAAATTAAGATCCCATGGTAAATAGGACTTGGTGATAAAAATCTTAAGTAGGGGCTGGGAAGGCGGCTCAGTGGTAGATGCTTGCCTTGCATGCATGATGCCCTGGGCTTGATTCCTCAGCACCATGTAAGCAGAAAAAGCTGGAAGTGGCATTGTAGCTCAAGTGGTCGAGCACTAGCCTTGATCTGATGGGCTGAGGGACAGCACTCAGGCCCAGAGTTCAGGCCCCACAACCAACCAAAAAAAAAAAAAAAATCTTAAGTAGTCTACTGCTATTTGTGGTATGTTCCAGTCCTCATTCTTTAGTCACCATAGCCAGCCATTGTCTCTAGAAAAATGAAATTTTGTTTGTAAGATGGAAAGTCCATGAAATTCTTACCTACAGTTAGCCACCAAAAGCTAGAATTGGAGCTGTGATAGAGTACTAGCCTTGAGTGAAAAAGCTAAGGGAGGCCGGGCGCTGGTGGCTCACGCCTGTAATCCTAGCTACTCAGGAGGCTGAGATCTGAGGATCGCGGTTCAAAGCCAGCCCGGGCAGGAGAGACTGTGAGACTCCTATCTCCAATAAACCACCAGAAAACCGGAAGTGGCGCTGTAGCTCAAGTGGTAGAGCGCTAGCCTTGAGCTGAAAAATTGAGGGACAGCGCCCAGGCCCAGAGTTCAAGCCCCACGACCGACAAAAAAAAAAAAAAAGAAAAAAAGAAAAAGCTAAGGGATACTGCCCAGGCCCTGAGTTCAAGGCCTAGTATTAGCAACACATATATACATACATGCATGCATGTATAAACATAGATAGTAAATAATAAATTTTTTCCAGTACTTATCTGTGATTTGATTTGAGGTGAGTCAGATACCTAATAAAAATACTTGTGTTGGGCTGGGAAGGTAGAGTGCTTGCGTTGCATGCATGAGGCCCTGCGTTCAATTCGTTAGCACCACATAAGCAGAAAAAGACGGAACTGGCACTGTGGCTCAAATGGTAGAGTGCTAGCCTTGAGCTGAATAGCTGAGGGACAGCACCCAGGCCCAGAGTTCAGGCCCTATGACTGACAAAACAAAAGAAAACTTGTGTTTGTTTTCCAAATTGTCTGTCTTAAGTTTAACATAAGAAATATTTGGTTTTGAATATTACTTATGAGTGGGAATAGTACTATGGACATTACATCATTACAGTAGTATTTCTCAAGCTATACCTTGTCATGCTCAATAACAAAACAACTAAAATGTAAATTCAAAAAGCTCTTAAAGCTCCTTGTTTTTTTTTGGTCAGTTGTGGGGCCTAAACTCTGGGCCTGGGTACTGTCCCTTAGCTCTTCAGCTCAAGGGTAGTAGCGCTCTACCACTTGAGCCACAGGTGCCACTTCCGGCTTTTTATGCTTATATGGTACTGAGGAATAGAACCCAAGGCCTCATACTTGTAAGGCAAGCACTGTACCACTGAGCCACCTTCCCAGCCCCTCAAAAAGCTCTTAATAATATTTTTGTGGGATAATTTACAAGTATTTTTTTTTCTTTTTTCCAATCCTGGGGCTTGAACTCACAACATGAACACTGCCCCTGAGCCTCGCTGTACTCAAGGCTAGCACTCTACCACTTGAGTCACAGCACCACTTTTGGCTTTTTCTGTTTATGTGGTACTGAAGAATCGAACCCAGTGCTTCATGCATGCTAGGCAAGCACTCTTACCATAAGCCACATTCCCAGCCCTACAAGTGTTTTAATAAAAATGTTGTTTCATTTCAGCTTCAAGGTATTGCAGCATGCTGATTGAAGAAGGAGGACTGCAACATTTATACAACATCAAAGAACATGAACAAACTGACCCCCATGTCCAACAGATTGCAGTGGCCATTCTGGACAGCTTAGAAAAACACATTGTGCGCCATGGGAGACCACCTCCCTGTAAAAAGCAGCCTCAGGCCAGACTAAATTGAGAGCCATAGATAGTTGAATAATTGAATGGTAGGAATCCTTTTTGTGATTGGTTTGGAATATCTTCCTCTCTGTGGTGTTTTGGGCATTCTATAAGAGTCATAAAATCAGTTTGGGATTGATATGTACAATACTGCCCATGTGAACAGTCTAATTTGTCTTGTGATTTTTAACTTATGAGGCAACAGAAGTATCTATCTTCCTTCATTGTTGTCTTTTAGGAATTTTCCCATCTATTTCAGTGTTTAAACTTACTTGTGCTTGAGACTCTACAGTTTTATGAAAAGTTTGCACGAACCTCTATGCCAGACTTTCCTGATCCTTCCAGTTCCTTCCAGTTAATTTGCAGCTTCAGATGAGCTGTTGATTTGATGTCTGGCATTGCTTTAGTTGTAAATTTTATACCACTTCTGTATAAAATGCCTTTATTCTCTGTGTAACTTTTATATGCTGCCCTTCTTAGTGTGAAAGAATGGAAATCTGCGTTGTTGTTGTGGAAGATACTTACTGTCTGGATAATGGACTGTTGGCAGAAAATTATTAAGGAAGAAGAGAGTTTAGGAATTGAGAATTGCTATTATGGTAGAGTTTTTTAAGTGGAATAGGCTACCCACCTGGAGGCCCCCTCTCTTGAGACAGTAAGTAGAAGCTGTTTGTTTTCCATATCTGTGGCTGGAAGCATGGACTGCCACTTCCTACACAGACTGTAGGTTCCTCTACAGATATTTCCCCTAAGTATCACAGTATAAAGTACCACAGCATTTTGTATAAAGTCTGTCTGAGTCTCTATATGTCATACTGTTTTTTTTTAAAGTGAATTTAAAAATATATCTCTGGTTAACACTAGCCATCTTTCTCTTCTATTTCAAAGTCATTTTTGTTTAGTGAAAGTATTGTTAACTTGCTTAAAGTACAGTTGACAAGAGTAAATTTTGCCACAAAAAGTTAAATTTGAGCTGAGGGTGTAGCTCAGTGGTAGAGTATATGCTTATTAGCACATGTGAAAACCTGGGTTAAATTTTTGTTCAAATACATGTATCATGTGTCTTCTTTGTTTTATTTTGAGGTACTAGTGATTGAACTCATACATGTACCTTCTTAATGTGTTCATGTTGGAGAAAAACCTTGGCATTTCACTACCAAAACAAAAGCAAGAGACAACTAAACTAGACTATGGTTAAATGGTTAAATGTAATGATTTTACTCTGGATAAAATGGAATGAATCATTTTTTAGACAGTTGCCTTTTTGCTAAAGTATTTGATACAGTATAATGATCATTTTCCTAATAAATTATAGCAAGTCTCCAAGGAATTTAATTTTCGTTTAAAGCTGGGCATGGAGGTACACATCTGGTGATCTGAGCACTTGGGAAGCTGAGACAGGAGGGGTATAATATGAAGGCCAACCTGGGCACCATAGCTCTTACATGACCATATTTTCTTGGTAGATGGTTAAATATTTTCAATAGAAATTCTTAAACAAGATATTTGAATTAGTTATTCAGAAGCATTTTCGTTTAGAAAGGAGCTGCTTTATTAGTATGTTAATAATATTTCTCACATATGGTTTCATGCCAATAATCAATACTTGAAATTTTTAGAGTTAATATAAAATATAAAAAATATAAATAATAAAAAATTATTTACAACTGTTAAAAACATAACTTTTAATTCTGATCTAATTGGTTTAAGGAATTTTATAGGAATGATAATTTTCACAGATTAATTTTATTTTTGAAAAAATGGAAAATTCAGTTTTTTTGCCTTAATTTTAAGTTCTGAGGCAAAAATTCAGAAAATAGGATGGTCTATAGTAGCTTGAGAGTTGTTAGCAGTGTTAACACTTTCCAAATCTATCTAATGTTGATAAGAGGAAAGTCTACTTGAGAAGCGTAGCTTCAAGTCTCTACACTACTGTTCAGGACAAAAGTGCATGTTCCTTATAGACTATTGCTAGTTTTTTGTTTTTGTAAGTCATCAGAAATGGCATAATGAGGCCAGCTACCAATGGCTTATGCCTATAATCCTCCTCAGGAAGCTGAAATCTTAGATGATGGTTCAAAGCCAGCTCAAGCAGGAAAATCCATTATACTCTCATCTTCAGTTAACCATCAGCAGGAAAGTCAGAAGTAGAGCTGTAGCACGTGTTAGAGTGCTAGTCTTGAGTAAAAAAAGCTCAGGGACAGTGCCTAGACAGTGAATTAAGCCCAATGACAGCCCCCCCCCCCCTCAAAAAAGGCATAAATGAGCTGAGCGCTAGTGACTCAGACCTGTAATTCCATTTACTCAGGGGACTGAGATCTGAGGATCCTGGTTTGAAGTCAGCTGGGGAAGGAAAGCCCCGTGAGACTCTTTATCTCCATCTAATTAGCTAAAAACTGAAATTGGAGGTATAGCTTAAGTGGTAGAGCTCTAGTCTTGAGTGAAAAAGCCAAGTGAGAGCAAGAAGCCCTGAATTCAAGCTCCAGTATGGGCACAAAAATAAAAATGGCCTAAAATATACAGAAAACATTAAATCCCTTAAAAAAAACAAACAAACTCAGAGTAACTTCATAATACATGAAGCCTCAAAAATATTTAAAGGGAAGTAGTGCTGTGTCTCAAGCGGTAGAGCGCTTGCCTTGAGCTGAAGAGTGCAGGGACAGCGCCCAAGCCCAGAATTCAAGCCCCACGATCGACCAAAAAAAACAACAAAAAAAAAAACCAGTTAAAAAAACTATTTAAAGTTTTATCACTTTGAGACTCAGTAGTCGCCACCTAGTTCTGAATCTTCAAAATAACCACATCCTAAATATATAGAAATTGGTGCCTTTATGGTTGGGATGGTTACTTAAAGTTGTGGAATTATGGCATAGAATTATCTATAAGGTTTGAAATCTGGCTAAAATACAGTAGATATATATTTTGGAATTAGGAGGTATACATTGCTAGTCTCTTGGTGAATATATGAGTACTGGTGCCTTCAGAGATTCCCTTTTGGATTCCCTTTTGGTGGCGTAGGGGGTCTCTTTTAAGCACAATGTAGACAAGGGTTGAACAACTCATTGTTCAAATAATCACTGTGCTGAATATTGTAAAATACCATTAGTTTAGTCTTCAAGCAACAGCAAAATTTGAACCTACTGAAGAACATGGATGCACAAGGCCCTAGATTTAATCCCCCAGCACCACAAAAACAAGGGAAACGATGTTTCAGATTTTAATGTTATATATTGCTGTCGTTGAGTAAAACAGAAAGTAATCTAAATATAATTAAGGCATTTTATTCTTTGCATCAAGTAACTTTCCCTATGGTCTTTATACTCTTAAAAACATATTTTTTGCCTTAGGTTGAGGGTATAGCTCACCTCAATGCTAGGAGCATGAAACCCTTGCTTTTGCCTCAGCACCAAAAATACAAAACAAAAATAAACTACTCTCTGGATCAAGTAATGATAGGGGGTTAGTTTGTCCTCTGTCCAAGGATATTGATCTCAATTGAAGATTTCTAAAAAAGCATATCAGACCCACAGTCCCAGGAATTGACTGTAAGTTATTGCTGCTTGTTTCTTCTGATGGGAATGCCATTTAGTGGTGCTAGTAAATTTTGAATAAGACTACTATGAGAGTTTGCTTTTATGACAGAATCAGGTTCATGTTTTTTTGTTGTTGTTGTTTGTTTGTTTTTTATTAAAGAAGCAACTTTATTGAGAAGGTTCCTACACTGACCATCCAGGGCTGCAGCACAGGCTCGGGAGCTGATACTGCGACCCCGAGCAGCCCAGGTTCATGTTTAAAGCCATCAGTCCTATATATTCAGTTTAGGAAGCCACTCTTACAAATGAGTCCTTTTTAGTTAGCCTGTGTTCTTCAGTCACTTTGGCTGTTTTTAATTATATGTCACAATAACATTGGTTGACTTTGATCACATTTTAATGAAAATATATGCCAAATTGAAGTAAATGAGGCAATTTGGCTTAGTGTTTTGGTGTTGTCTTGCCTCCTCAAAAACAGCTGCAGTAGCCAATAACAGGTGACAGGAAGGTAATGGGTTTTGTTTTTTTGTTTTGGGTCTGGTCGTGGGGCCTGAACTCTGGGCCTGGGCGCTGTCCCTCAGCTCTTCAGCTCTTCAGCTCAAGGCTAGTGCTCTACCACTTGAACCACAGCACCACTTCCGACTTTTTTCTTTTTGCTTATGTGGTGCTGAGGAATCGAACCTCATGCATGCAAGGCAAGCACTCTACCACTGAGCCACCTTCCCATCCCCAGGAAGGTAATGTTTAAGTAAGGTAAAATGCATCCCCACTTTCCTGCCCTCTTACAGTATGTTTACATTATTTGGTTATTGTACAAACTCAAATATCATATAAACAATATTACTAAACTGAAGGCATAAGTTAAAGGCAGTATCATACTTTGGGCTCTTCTAATTTTATCTGTATATTATTTATTTGGAACTTCATATTGTTCTGGCTTCAGAACTGCTCTGAGGCAGCTTTTAGTTTGCAAACTTTTGATTTCTCTCTTAAATCCCTTTTAACAGTTTAATATTTATCATTTGCTGTGAGTTGACACATTTTTAATGTTGTGTGCCTCAAGAACTGTTTATATTAGGAATAATGCAAAATAACCTTTGTCCAGTGATGAGAATAACAGTATGATAGGAAAATTTGCTGGTTCAACTTTGAATGAGTGATTGCTTTTATCTCATTTATTTAGTGCTTAATAGACTTTGCATGATTCCTAATTATACATTCTTTGACTTTCAAATCTTAACCCAAGACACTATGTTGACTTACTGGTAGTCTAAGAAAAAAAATTCTGTTTTCTCCTGCCCCACTTTTTTGGGGGAGAGTTAATTATACCAAGATTGATGCAATTTCTCATTAGTCTAAATGAAGCAGAAGCTCTTTTGGACAGCATAGCCTAACTTCATAACCAGATAAATGCTGATTAAAAATAACAGGTATGGTGACACACATCTATCTACAATCCTCGCACTTGGGAGGCTGAGGCACAGTATTGTTTCAGGCCAGCCTGGCTACAAAGCCAGTTTTACTCTGCTTTACATATTTGGAACCTGTCTCTAAAAAGAGAGAGAAAAGAGACATTATGAGAGCCAGAAAGTAAGAAAAAGAGGAGAGAAAAGAGGAGGGGGGCGGGGAGAGAGAGAGGTAAAGAAAGAAAAAAGTTTTACTCGGTGGCTTACACTTGTAGCCTCAGCTATGAGGGAGGCTCAGGCAGGAAGGTCACTTGAGACCACTAGTTGGAGACCAACCTGGGCAACATAGTGAGATTCCCCTCTCCAAAAACAAACCAAAACAAACTCCAGTAACAACAAAAATGGGCTGGAGGCATGGCTCATGTGGTTGAATGTCAGCAAGCAAGAGGCCCTGAGTTCAAGCCCTGGTACCAGCAAAAAAAAAAAAAAAATTGAAACTTCTAAATTAATCAAAATTATAGGAAATAAATGGTTTATTAGTAGAATGTCTTTGGAGCTTACTTTGAGGAAAACTTCAAGTTGGGTTGTTTATTTTAAATCAGCTATTTAATGAAAATTGAAATACTTTCATAAAAGGAAACTCTTGATAGCATTTTTTCTCTAAAAATGAGGAAATGTCATTTCAAGATTTATAGTCTCAGATAATATGAAAGAATACATTTTTTTAATCCCTGACTTTTGTAGGATTCCCTCTGCCAAATGTTCACTGACTGTGATAATAGAAAAGCTTTTGCTTAAATTCTGATGGAATTTAACTTCTTTTAAGAGTATGAAAAATTATTGAAAAGCATATTGTATGTAAATTTCAAACTCAATTATCTGGACTGAAGACATAGTTCTTATTGTTGTCAGACGAATGGAAGAGTTTCTGTACATGAATCATGCTATATATTAAATGAGGACATCACTAAAGTATTAATGTTCTGTGTACAGATTGTTTTGGAATTTTTTCATAAATAAATGTTACAAATTTTATGTAAAGTGTCTTTTTTAAGAATAAATTTAAAAAATTACCTTGAAATAGTTGTACAAAAGGATTTCAGTTCAGTATATATGTCAGTTTATATGTACAATGTATCTTGGTCAATGTTAATCCTTCCATTTTTCTCCCTAAAGTTTGTCTTATATACTTTGATTCTAGACATTTGTTTTTAAAACCTAATACTAGGGGGCTGGGAAGTTGGCTCAATGGTAGAGTGCTTACCCCTCATGCATTGAGGCCCTGGGTTCGATTCCTCAGCACCACATAAGCAGAAAAAAGCTAGAAGTGGTACTGTGACTCAAGTGGTAGAGCATTAGCCTTGAGCTGAAGAGCTGAGGGACAGCGTCCAGGCCTAGAGTTCAGGCCCCATAACCGACAAAAAACAAACAAAAAAACCACAAAACTTAATACTAGGGCTGGGAATGTGGCTTAGTGGTAGAGTGCTTCCCTAGCATGTAGGAAGCCCTAGGTTCCATTCCTCAGTATCATACAAACAGAAAAAGCCAGAAGTGGTGCTGTGGCTCAAGTGGTAGGGTGCTAGCTTTGAACAAATAGAAAGCTCAAGGACAGTGCCCAGGCCCTGAGTTCAAGCCCCCAGGACAGCCAAAAAAACAAACAATATTAACTAAAGCTTTGGATTCCTTATTGAGCCACTTGGAACAAACTACTTTCTGAAAACTTCAGAAGGTTCTAATACTGGGACATCATTTCATTAAATAATTATTTAATAAGCCAGGCGCCGGTGGCTCAGACCTGTAATCCTAGCTACTGAGGAGGCTGAGGTCTGAGGATCACAGTTCAAAGCCAGCTCCGGCAGAAAAGTCCGTGAGACTCTTATCTCCAATAAACCACTAGAAAACTGGAAGTGGCCCTGTGGCTTAAGCAGTAGAGCACTCACCTTGAACTGAAGAGCGCAGGGACAGCACTCAAGCCCAGAGTTGAAGCCCCACAACCGAAAAAAAAATTATTTAACTTACAAATCCTTTGGAGAATTCAAATTTAATAGAGAATAATTGTTAAATTACACATTATTAACTGGATTTTTGACCATTTCACAGTGCTTGCTGTAGAGACTAAAAGCCACTCCTAATTCCCAGTGGACGGTCCAACACAATTCAACAAGAGTTCCTGGGTCGGGCAGGGAAGGTGGCTCAGTGGTAGAGTGCTTTCCTCTCATGCATGAGGCCTGGGTTCTATGCCTCAGCACCACATAAGCAGAAAAGGCCAGAAGTGGGATGTGGCTCCAGTGGTGAGTGCTCCCTTGAGCTGAAGAGCTGAGGGACAGTGCCCAGGTCCAGAGTTCAAGCCCCATGACTGAACAAAAAAGGTTCTTGTTTTTTGTTTGTCATTTGTGAGGCTTGAACTCTGGGCTTAAGCGCTATCCCTGAATTCTTCAACTCCAGGCAAGCACTTTACCACTACAGCCACAGCACCACTTCCAGTTTTCTGGTGGTTTATTGGCAATAAGTGTCTCACGACTTTCCTGCCTGAGCTGGCTTTCATCCATGATCCTCAGATTTCAGCCTCCTGAGTAGCTAGGATTACAGGCATGAGCCACCAGTGCCCAACTTTACACAGGCATCGCAGTAATTAACTGGTAGCTGGTCGTTGGGTACAGGTTCATGACACTGTCAAACACACAAGATTCATCAAGGTAGAGGCCAAGAAAGTATATTAGTAAAGCAAAAGATAGTACACACTCAGAGAAGAGATGGCTTAAATTTACCTTAAGCTGAGTGTTTCCCTTTGTTCTGGACACCTGGTACATTCAATCTTTTTTTTTTGGTCTGTCATGGGGCTTGAACTCTGGGCTTGGGCGCTGTCCCTGTGCTCTTCAGCTCAAGGCTAGCGGTCTACCGCTTGAGCCACAGTGCCAATTCTGTTTTTGTAGTGGTTTATTGGAGATAAGAGTCTCATTTTCTGCCCTGGCTAGCTTTAAATCATGATCCTCAGATCTCAGCCCCCTGAGTAGCTAAGATTACAGGTGTGAGCTACTGGTGCTTGCACCTGGCTTGTTATACTGTTTTGATATTAACAATTGGACACAGAGATAAGTCATCCACTGAATTGGGTCATTGTGACATACATGTATGTTTACCTTGAGTATCACTTTAAAGAAAGGATAACAAAGGAGGAGGCTGCGATGCTTGGTAAGAAATGTATGCATTATCCTGCCCATGTAATTGTAACCCCTCTGTACAGTATGTTCTCAAATAAAATAAAATTAAATTAAAAAAAAAAAGAAAGGATAGGTTTCAGATGCTCCTTTTAAGCCAAGTATCCTTTCTTAAGGTATTTTTTTCTTTGCAAACACTTATGTGAAGTCATTTTACATGTTTTTCCCCAAGGATAACTTACCTTTTAAGATATCCTTGCTAAGTTTCCAAAGTGTACTATTTGGACATGCATACAAGATCATAAGGAAATTATCTGACTATAAAGACTATGAAGCTTAAAGCAAAGGAAGTTGTGCCCTGTGTTTCATTGATACTTTTCACTAATACAGTGTCTTTGAATTCCTGTCTTCGCTTTCCAAGATTATTTCCTCTGATTTATCTTACCTCGTGATGTGTATTCTTTTTAAGTTCATTTAGGGGGATTATCAGAGGGGAAAATTACTAGTGATTTAGTTTGAGAACCTTTATTTTACAGTTAAAAAGTAGTTTTAGGCCAGGTACAGTGATTTGCATTTGTAATCTAGCTACTCTGAGGTATAGATTGGGAAGGATTATAGTTCATGAACCCAGGCAAAAAGTTAGAGGGTATAATACTAGGTACTTATGGCTCACACTTGTTATCCTAGCTACTCAGGAGCCTGAGATCTGAGGATCAAAGTTTGTAGCCAGCCAGAGCAGGAAAGTTCATGAGACTAATCTCCAATAAACTACCCAAATGCTGGAAATGGAGCTGTGGCATAAGTGGTAGAGTGCTAGCCTTGAGCAGAAAAGCTCAGAGATGAGCTGAGATGTATGTAGCTAAGTGGTAAAGCACTTGCCTAGCAAGTGCAACATCCTGGGTTTGATCCCCAGTACCAAAAAAGAAAAGGCAAAACAACAACAACAAAAAGTTAAATCCAAACAATGACAAAAAAGCTCTGAAACAGTACCTAGGCCCTGAGTTCAAGCCACAGAACTGATATCAAAAAAGAAAAAAAAATGGGTATAGTGAAGTTAGCAGGTTATAGTCAAGCTTGCCTATCATCTTGGTTCAGGTCAGCCCAAGCAAAAAATGTGAGATCCTATTAGGAAAATAACTAAAGCAAAAAGAGCTGGAGACATGGCTCAAGAATTAGAACACTAACCAGGCACTGGTGGCTCACACCTGTAATCCTAGCTACTCAGGAGGCTGAGATCTGAGGATCGTGGTTCAAATACAGCCTGGACAGGAAAGTCCGTGAAACTCTTATCTCCAATAAACCACCAGCAAACCAGAAGTGGCGCTGTAGCTCAAGTGGTAGAGTGCTAGCCTTGAGCTGAAGAGCTGAGGGACAGCGCTCAGGCCCAGAGTTCCAGCCCCATGAACGACCAAAAAAAAACAACAACAACATAAGAATTAGAACACCTACTCCAACCCATCTGTACATCTTTTTTTTTTTTTTTGTCAGTTGTGGGCTTGAACTCTGGGCCTGGGCAC